AGAGAGAGTACCAAAGTCAGAGAATAACAGGGGGAGAGTGAGTGAGTGGCAGTAGGAGACCTGAGAGAATGGGGGGTCACACACACACACACACACCTGGCAGACGGCGGTGAGAGGGGGGAGGGGAAGGAGGGAGGGAGGTGGGGGGGGGGACATCTAATTCCAAACAGCAGGTGTGACTGTCATTACGTGATCCACTTTCATCTATTCTAGTATTCCATTCACTTTCATTAATCACTATTGCTTAACTATTTATCTAACTCATCTATAATTGGTATATTTAGCTATACATCTATTAATTTATTCGCTTTATTCTTTGTTTCTTTGTTTCTCTGTTATTTTCAATATTTCCTCGGTGTGTATAAATGATTTCTTGACGTCTAATTTCCTCCTCCACAAATGTTCTTACGATGGAAGTCTCTGTTAACTGAAGGTCTAAATAAAATGTTGATTATTAACTCGTTTGACTTACGTTATAGAACAAGATATAAAACACTGTCCCAAAACATCTTCTCAGTGTTATTGAAAAACTGATGATTAGTTTGTGTTTTAGGGATAATTCTCTTGACCTCAGCTGACCTTATCAACCCCTACCGTCCTGAGTTTTACCTTGTCATTTGTGCAGTTTGTATAGAATTTAGTTAGTAATGGATCTAGATGGAAAACTCTTGGTATATTTGTATTTATGGTTTACTAAATGTGTTATATCGGGAAGAATTGAATGGACAAAAGTTGAACAGGTCAATGGCAAAGTATTTGGAGGAAGAGAACACCTCTATCTCTTAATCTGTCTATTTATCTCTCAATTCAAGTAGAATCTCATCGTAAAAAGTAAGTTAACATTAGTCACTCCTTCAGCATAGAGAGACTATAGAGAGACCCCTCGTGCCTAAAGGGGTTAATAAACTGGATCTATCAATACTATGTTACAGCGTTTCCAGTTAAGACACACGAGTGCTCTGGACACACAAGTCTAATACACACATAGAGTATTAACGAGAGAGAGAGAGAGAGAGAGAGAGAGAGAGAGAAATATAACACACCCTCAACAACAGTTCCCTTGGCAATTAATACAAAAATAAATCTAATTACTTCAAGATATAATAGAGAACCTAACGTGTATCACCTCAATAACCTACTTGAGTTGAATTAATTACTACCTATACCACCTATCGACTATACCTATCAGTGTTTTACCTGGGAGTCAGTCAGTCAACACCCACGTCTGTCTCATACCTGTCTAAACTTATTAAGCCTACAGACTCCTTACACCTGCACTTGATTAATTTTAGGCATCTGTAAAACGCCATTCAACAATTCGTTTTGTCCTGATTTGGGAAGATTGGAGTCAAATGAGATCTATCTAGTGGTAGTAGATCTGGTCATGATAGATCCGTTTCAGAGTAGTTCACAGTCTGATGGATAACCCAGGTTAATCGTACGGTAGAGAGTTATGTCTGTTTTAAACGTACCTTCATGATGATGAGAATATAGTCGTCAGCCATAATGTCTTATTGTTTTAAAGATTATTTTCATCTTCTGTGTCGGTGATCAGGACTTCCATGGGGATCCGGGCAGTGTTTCCCTCCCTCAAGTCTTCGTGTGAGGGATGTACAGTAATATCACTTCGGGTAAGCAATGACAAAAACTCGAAAGAGTAATACAGTGCAGAAGAGGAACACTTTCTGCTAATGGTTCAAGGCAGCAGCTGGTGCAGAACACAGCGGATTTAAGTGACGGCTTCAATGGACAAACTTGACACGTAACAGTAGTTTAATGGGCTCAAAAGAATGCAGTATGAAAATAATAAGTATCAACTCAATTTGTATTGTTCAAACCACAATGTGACAGTAGAGCCACTGTACAACTTTCCACTTCATAGAATTAAGAGTCTAGAATACTTGTCCCGTTCCTTAGATACAAACGACCACTTCTGACCTGTGTCCTTTACGCTCCGTTAACTTAAAGATATTGATCCTAACATCATAATACGACACGAGTCATGAGGGAACTCTAGGGCGTAATCATCAGTCTAAAATAAAGTCATACCGAGAAGTTATGTCACAATTAACACCATTACAAACGGTGTCAGTCAGGCAGATACTATGTCGCCGCCATCAGGAGTCCGTATAATCAACTGATCTGTTTTAGAGACGCTCTGGTAAGACTGGTGACGCACCGCCATGGGGCTGAGGGAGGAGTAACATACGCCCAGCACTTCGCCCTGTCGGTAACTCCCACCCGGATGTTCCCCCTCACATCCCACTGTTAGCCACACCTGAACACTCCGCCACACTTGTATCTTTCGCTTCTCACTATGTTTCCCATTTATCTTTTTCTTGTTTCTCCTGTTTCTCTTCCCTTCTACATCCTCTTATTTTTATCAAGCTTCTCTTCTGCCCAGTGCTCTTTCCTCTTCTCTCCCTGTGTACCTTACATACCTTCCCCTCCTTCCTCCTCCAGAATACGTCCACCTCTCACCCCTCCATCCCCACTCACCTCTAAAGATCCCTCTCCATTCCCCAATTATCCCACCACAAAAATATAACTCATCTTCCACCACCACCAACACCCTCCCTTCCTTCTCCCAACACCCTCCCTTCCTTCTCTCCTACACGCATGACCGAATCACCCTGTCATCTTCCTTCCCTCCCCTGTCCCCCGCCCTCTCTTCCACACCTACACCTGTCTGCCCCAACCCCCCTCACACAACCCCACCCCACCCCTACCTACCCTAAATCAGAGAAACTTTTATAACTAAATGAGAAATTAAATAATCATCAGGGCTACAACATCCTGACCTCTGGGGGTATAACAGTGAGCTTCAGTGACTCAGGGCTACAACATCCTGACCTCTGGGGGTATAACAGTGAGCTTCAGTGACTCAGGGCTACAACATCCTGACCTCTGGGGTATAACAGTGAGCTTCAGTGACTCAGGGCTACAACATCCTGACCTCTGGGGGTATAACAGTCCTCAGGCAACATCCTGACCTCTGGGTATAACAGTGAGCTTCAGTGACTCAGGGCTACAACATCCTGACCTCGGGGGTGAGCTTCAGTGACTCAGGGTTTAACATCCTGACCTTCAGTGACCTTCAGTGACTCAGGGGTTACAACATCCTGACCTCTGGGGTATAACAGTGACCTTCAGTGACTCAGGTTACAACATCCTGACCTATGGGGTTATAACAAACTCATCATCCTGACCTATGGAGGTTATAACAGTGACCTTCAGTGACTCAGGGCTACAACATCCTGACAGGGGGTATAACAGTGACCTTCAGTGACTCAGGGCTACAACATCCTGACCTCTGGAGGTTATAACAGTGACCTTCAGTGACTCAGGGCTACAACATCCTGACCCAGGGACCTCTGGGGTTATAACAGTGACCTTCAGTGACTCAGGGCTACAACATCCTGACCTATGGAGGTTATAACAGTGAGCTTCAGTGACTCAGGGCTACAACATCCTGACCTCTAGGGGTATAACAGTGACCTTCAGTGACTCAGGGCTACAACATCCTGACCTATGGAGGTTATAACAGTGACCTTCAGTGACTCAGGGCTACAACATCCTGACCTATGGAGGTTATAACAGTGACCTTCAGTGACTCAGGGCTACAACATCCTGACCTATGGAGGTTATAACAGTGACCTTCAGTGACCTCTGCTCTCTTATGCTTTTTTACCTCACCAATCACAGGATAAGGGATGCTCTATAAATTATCTGCTCAGCTGTATTGAAAGACCTAAAGATTAGACACCCCGACTTATTTCACCTGATGATTAAACACCCTAACGCCTACCTGAGGAAGTTAGGCTAGGTTAAGTTAGGTTAGGTTAGGTTAGGTTAGGTTAGGTTAGGGTGTTTAATCTTACTACATCTTCACCACCTTACCCACACACCTGCGTCCTATACTTCACCTGCACCATCCATCAGGTGTTTCTAGGTAATGATCGTGACCTAATTGTAGGACCCAGTCGTCGATCACCTAAAAGTTGTAAGTTGGGTAAATTCGTTGTTTGTACATTTGATTACACGGGAAGGTTTGTTGTTTTGGGTAATTAGGGTAGATTCTTCCTTAGTTTATGTTCGTCAGTGTTGGCATTTTTTTTCTTTTTCGTCTCTTGATGAGAACCTCCCTAAGTGCAGTTCGTTATTTGTTACTTTGTTACTGGGAGCAGATTGTTATGGTGTTGGGTTAGGTTAGAGTACGGGGATAAGTGTGTTAAAACAGGTCTCGTTTCACACATTGCCTAAAACAAACGCTGAATTATATAAAATGCCTAGGAAATGTGTACGAAATGATTGATTTTATGCTTTGCCTTGAAGTTTTAGGCATTGTATAAAAAGCCTAAAAATTCAACACAATACCGGATCTCACACCTTATCGGTAATTCAGGTGACGTTGGTAGGTAGGGACAGACAGGTGTAAAAGGAACATGTAATACCCAATCTATACAATATAAATAATGGATGCTCCTCGTGTAACGAGGATGGCCGGCCCTAGGGCCACCTAGGCGTGAATTTGTTTAAGGTATAGAAGCTGTCGCCAACACAACAACCACACTCTAAGTTAACGAGCTGCATAACCCAGTGTCAAGGAATAGTCCGAGAAAACCGGACAACTCGCCAACTGCACTGGCAAACCATTACCCTGGAATACGATCCGCATATCGATTAACATCCAGGTCCCCAATTACTACTGGGTAGACAGAGGCAAATGGCACAATGAAACTTGCCCATGGTTTCACCCTGCCCGGGGATCGAATTCGGATCCGCTCGCTTGTGAGGTGAGCATGCTGACTATAAAGGTACTAAAACAACATAAACTACACATGTGACAGAACAAGACACCGTGTTAAAACTGTCTGGAAATATTAATATAGTTGATTAATTTACACTAGACTACCCGTAAATAAATAGTTTTCTCTATACACATCATAGAAAACGGTCAGACTCCCGCTAACGTTACCATGGAGACCGTAAACAAATGTCGGTGTTTTTCTCTTTAGTACTATTGTATCCCCCTCACCATGAACCTGAAACGTATATACCTTCGCTACTATCCTCCCGGTAAGATTCAGAACATCTATCATGCCTTCGCCTTCATTTGTACATATAAGCTTAAGGCGTTAAATCATATGTGAAAAACTTGATTACTCTATCGCTATTCTTAACTTAAACATATCACACAAAAACAACACATATTATTTGGGTTATTACAAGATAGGTACCGTAATATACCTGTTAATATTCCCAGCAGTTATTTATTAAATTAATATAATGACAGACTGGCTTGAAAGGTAAAATATATGAAGCTGCTTAACCGTAACATCGCCTTGAGTCGAGTTTTCTAGACAAAGTGACGAAAATTATCGACTTTTTTTTTTTTACCTTGCCATAGGTTTTATTTGGACCATTGTGACTGGTCAAACTTGTGATGTTAAACGATTGATTAGTAGCTTCATATCACTCATTTACCCTTGCAATGATGATACTACTTAGGAAATTATTATTATAGAAAATATATTGAGAAAACCTTGCGTATCAATGTTTCCAGTGTAGAGAAGTACTAGGCTGTGGTACTCCGGAAAACAATAGGCTACGCTGGCATAGAGTGGAGTAATGATTTTAATAGCTGTATTATTCGTATTTTAATGCTTCACTATCATTTTTGTTTGTTGAATATACATACTGTTAGTATTACGAATATTGAATGATAAATGATTCGTAAATAGGATCACCTGAAGAATCGTCATCCCAATGATTCTAAATGTATACCAACGATTAGTTCCTTGTGTGTGTGTGTGTGTGTGTGTGTACAATGGTTAAAATAATTAACACAGATGAAGTAAATCGTGACTGAACTTTTAATTGTATTGCACAGGTGATCCTTATGTTGCAATACATTGAATTAATTATTTGTTATCTTTTAATTACTGTACTATTATGTGGCTTAGAAATTATATTAAATGTTCAAATGATTGTCATAACATCACGTCCTGTCTGTAAACGACGTAACACCGTCATGTTACTCACCACTAAATGGATAGTTTTATTTAGTTAATTAAATACGCCTAAAGGGCGGCAAATTTATCAGAACACGCGGCCTGTTACAACATAAAAACACAAGAGAATTATTATCTCTTAACAAACAGACTTTGTCGAAATGGGCCAAGTACCCACCAAGTGTGGGCAGCGTCCCAGAAGTACACCAAAATTAATGGTAACATGCTGTGATCAGTGACTCCCTGTGGCAGGAGGTCCCTGACAATCGAGGTAATAATATTAGACGTGGGACTGTTACACAGTTTGCGGGAAGAGTAGTGCGGGACATCCTCCAACTCAAACACTTAACAGATCTACAGTAGGTCTGTATCCCAGGATAATGCCAGCCGAGATAATATTATGTCTGGGAACCACAAGTCCACGTAGACGATACTTATATGGGAAGGGAATAAACTGATCGTAGTGTATGTACCGTAAATCCCGTTAACACTTTGATATCAACACCGGGTGTCACTCGCTCGTCACGGAAAGTATATTATTAAATTACTTTTCTTGTATTCTGTCTAAGCAGATATTAACGAATCATAATTAAAAAGGTAGTTAAATGACTATGAATTTAAAAAAATATATATTCTTAATTAAATAGTTCATGTTCGTCAAAGAAAAATAGTCTACTGCTGCTTTTAATAATAATAATAATACCTGTAATATTAATAATAATAATCCGTTCACGTGCCCTTTGCAACAGACCCTAAAGCACATTTTATCAATGGAGCTGATTGGCTGACGGAATGAGCTGCGTTGGGTTAATCTCGAGCTCATTATTACTTGTCATTTCTCTATATTTGCAATTGCGAGTAATATTAACAATTAAGTGTTGATCTAGAATGACATGCGAACCCAAGAATTAAAGATTATCACATCAAATACAACTATAACGTAGATATCTTAAAGTGAAAAAGAAAGAAGTTAAAAACGATTAGTAGTGTTTGCTGGTAACCCCCCACCCTCCATAGACATATTCACTCGGTGTGACTCCACCAATCACGAGCTTCCCTTAACTTAGACCAATTGCGAGTTTGGAATGAACTCAATATTGAGTGAGTGACTCAGCTTCGTCTCAATGGAGGGCAGGAGATGGTGCACAACCACCTACGCCACCAGCACCTCCCTACAAAATTTAAGCTCGGTATTCAAAACTGTGGGAATGCACAAGGAACACACACACACACACACACACACACACACACACACACACACACACACACACACACACACACACACACACACACAATACATATAACTCCAATTAATCAAAATAATAGTTTTAATAACATCATATCATATCAATAATTATGATAATATGACTATAATGAAAAGAGTACCATTAATATCACCTAATTATAATACTGTAATAGTACTAAGAGCATCACATCAACAGCTCATCACCACCCACAGGACTCACCTTCGAGCTGACAGACTCCAGAGGCTCTTCCTGTCGTAGGGAGGTGGACCTGTTCGACCTCCGCCCCGAGTAAGTCTTGCCACCACCTGCAGGAGAATGGTTGTTATAATGTAATACATCAAATATGGTCAGTGAACGAGTATTTTAACACTGTAACACTTGCTGGATATATAGGCTGAAAATTATTAGACGGCAATTCAATCTAGTCTGAGATACTTATGTTATGTAGTTTTAATTTGATGCTTTTTTGCAGATTTGTTTATTATATTATTTATAAATATAATTTCTTACATTTTTCACTTATCGATTTATTGGTTTACTTTTCGTTTTGAGGTTTATTTCCATCTATGCGTGTTGAGTGTCTTCTCTCTCCTCCTCTTCCCAGCAACACACACACTGACAAACACTCAACACACACACACACACACATACGTCTACGCAAACACTAAACAACATTCAATCTTTCATCGTCAGTTCACAGGTTAATGAGGTAGTAAGGGAGGTGACGGCGCGGGAGGCTTGTGCAATAGGGCAAAGAGGGCGTGTTCAGCGGTTAGTGGGGCGCCTAGTGCAAGCCCTACACGCTTCCACCCACCACGTCCACAAACGGCACACCACCCTCCGCGCCCACATCCTACCACTCACCAATGTCGCCCTCAACAAGGAAGCTTCTCTGTGAGTAATATGAGTAACACGGGAGTATTATGAGTAACACGTGAGTAATATGAGTAACACTTGTGAGTAATATGAGTAACACTTGAATAATATGAGTAACACTTGAATAATATGAGTAACACTTGAATGATAAGAGTAACACTTGAATAATATGAATAACACTTGAATAATATGAGTAACATTTGTGAGCAATATGAGTAACAGTGACACTGTACGTGGCCTATACACACTGTTCAACTATAGACATTGGTATTAATTAACAGTAAACAGGTGACATGAACGTGTGGTTGTACAGGTGCGCCACTGGCAGCTATGACCGGGAGTGTCGACTGTGGAGGACGGAGGACGGAGGGGCGGTCACCACACTAAAGGGCCATCAAGATGTTGTGTTTGATGTAACCTTCGCCGGCAAGCATGAGTAAGTGACCAGCTGGCGTAGGAGACCTGAGACCACCTGCCAGATGGTTATAGGACACACAGCAACACGTTCAGACACACAGCAACACGTTCAGACACACAACAACACGTACAGGCACACAGCAACACGTACAGGCACACAGCAACACGTACAGACACACAGCAACACGTTCAGACACACAACAACACGTACAGGCACACAGCAACACGTACAGACACACAGCAACACACAGACACACAGCAACACGTACAGACACACAGCAACACGTTCAGACACACAGCAACACGTACAGGCACACAGCAACACGGGGCACACAGCAACACGTACAGACACACAGCAACACGTTCAGCACACAGCAACACGTACAGGCGTACACAGCAACACGTACAGACACACAGCAACACGTTCAGACACACAACAACACGTACAGGCACACAGCAACACGTACAGGCACACAGCAACACGTACAGACACACAACAACACGTACAGGCACACAGCAACACGTACAGGCACACAGCAACACGTACAGGCACACAGCAACACGTACAGACACACAACAACAATAAAATGCAAGTCGGAGAGAAAAGCCTTCTCCTATTCTTTCTCTACAACCCCATCACTTGCCACTCCCCTCTCAGACCTCCATCCCTCTCCCTTTCCCGTCCCACCCCTCTCTACGACCATATCATTTCCCCTCTTCCCTACTCACCCTACCCCACAATCTCTCACTCTCTCCCTATGTTCTCTTCCCCTCTCCGCATCCCTTCACTCTCTCCACGTCCTCTCACTCCTCTTCACAATCTCTCACTCTTCCTCTTCTCTCTCTACATCCCGTTCTCCTCTCATCGATCCCCACGTCCCTTCAGCGAGTTAGTGGCTACCTGCAGCTTCGACGGGACGGTGCGTGTGTGGGAGGCGGCAACGGGGAGCTGTGAGTTGGTGCTGGCGGGTCATGATGGTCCAGTGGCAGTGGTGGCGTCCCTCCCCACCTCCAGGCAGTTCCTTACCACCGGCGGGATGGACACCTCCGCCAGGATATGGGACCTGCACATGGGTCAGTTAATGGTGTTGGTTACATTATGTCAGTGTATCTCTCTCTCTCTCTCTCTCTCTCTGGATGTAGATTGAAATATACTGTACTAACAAAGATGAAGATACAGGAAGAGATTATAACGGAAACATTGACACACACGCACCAATTATGTAACTGTATATTTTCAACTTTCCGGCTGCCATGTTCTTTCAATAAACCATTAATAATTATTATTATTATTACACGAAGCTGTCATAACAAGAGTCGTGTTGACCAGCAGGCGAGTGCGTGACAACCCTGGCAGGGCACAAGGGCGCCGTAGTTGGCGTGGGCGGCGACAGATCAGGTCACGTCCTCTACACCGCCTCCTTCGACGGTACCGTCAGGCTGTGGGATGCCAGGACCCATGAGTGAGTCAGATGGAGGTCATATCGGGTCAGGTTATATCAGGTCACTTACTGTAGGTCCTGGAAGGTCATTCCTCCACTCACAGTAATGGAGACCTAACGTAAAGGAGCAGGTAATGACCCACCTGAGTATCTCTCCGCCCTCCCTCCGGAGTACCGTGTCCCCTTCAATTAGGTAGACTCAATGAACAGGTTAATTCACAACTCACTATTCTTCTATTTCCTGCTCACGAGTATCATGAGCCCTTCATTACGGCAGACTTAACCTAATGAAAGACACAAGAGTGTACTTGAGTACTCCTCCCTCCCTCCCTCAGGAACAGTGGGACCTTGGTGGGGCATGATGGGGAGGTGAACGGAGCAGGTATGAGCTGGTGTGGTCGCTACCTGGCCTCCTGGGGTACTGATGCCTCCGCCCAGGTGTGGGACCTCCGCCACACCCACCACACTCTCTACACCCTCCACCACGACGCTGAGGTAATTGCACCCTCCAACACACCTTCCAAATACACCCTTTATACCCTCCATCACACCCTCTATACCATCCATCACACCCTCTACACCCTCCACCACAACCTCTACACCCTCCACCACACCCTCTATACCCTCCATCACACCCTCCACCACAACCTCTATCATCCCCACCACAACCTCCGCTACACCCTCACCGACACCCTCCACCAATACGCTAAGGTAAGTGTATGAACTGTATAGTCAGGTGTGTCTGAGTACTGTATCAGGTGTAGTTAAGTGTCTGAGGTGCTGTATAGGACACTGTGTACAATGTATGTAGGTGACAGGTGATATTTGTCCATCCCCACAGGTGGTGTCAGGGGCGTGGGACAGCTGTGGGCGGCAGCTAGTGACGGGCGGCGTAGACAGGACCGCCCACCTCCTATATCTGCCCACCCTCACTCATACCCTCCAGCTCGACGGACACGGCGGCGAGGTCTCTCAGGTCAGGGACCACTAAAGTCAGGGGTTAACAAGGTCAGGGGTTAACAATGGCAGGGGTTAACAAGGTCAGGGGTCACCAGATAAGGAGGTCACTAAGCTCAGGGGTCTCTCAGGTCAGGGAGTCACTAAGGTCAGGAGTCACTAAGGTCAGGAGACAGCTAAGGTCAGGGGGTTGCAAAGGTCAGGGGGTCGCTAAGGTCACTGTCTCATAAAGCCAGGCCAGGTGTTCTGGACATCTCTATCTTACAGGTGTCTTTTAATCCCGCTGGGACCCGGGTCATCACGGCTGGGGAGGACGGCTACCTTAGGGTGTGGGACGCCAAGGACGGTCACTGTGTCCAGGTGTGTATGTATGTGTGTGTGTGTGTGTCAGGGTGTGTGTGTCTGTGTTTATGTGCGTCAGGATGTGTGTGTGTGTGGGGGGGGTATTTATACATGTTTGCATGTCAGTGTGTGAGTGTGTGTGTATGTGTGTTGTCAGGGTGTGAGTTTATGTGCGTCAGGGTGTGTGTGTGTGTATGTGTGTCTGTGTTTATGTGCGTCAGGATGTGTGTGTGTATGTGTGTGTGTGTGAGGGTATTTATACATGTTTGCATGTCAGTGTGTGTGTATGTGTGTCTGTGTTGTCAGGGTGTGAGTTTATGTGCGTCAGGGTGTGTGTGTGTGGGTGGATGTGTGTCTGTGTTTATGTGCGTCAGGATGTGTGTGTGTGTGTGGTATTTATACATGTTTGCATGTCAGTGTGTGTGTATGTGTGTCTGTGTTGTCAGGGTGTGAGTTTATGTGCGTCAGGGTGTGTGTGTGTGTGTATGTGTGTCTGAGTTTATGTGCGTCAGGGTGTGTGTGTGTATATGTGTGTTGTCAGGGTGTGACTTTATGTGCGTCAGGGTGTGTGTGTGTGTATGTGTGTCTGAGTTTATGTGCGTCAGGGTGTGTGTGTGTGTATGTGTGTCTGTGTTTATGTGCGTCAGGGTGTGTGTGTGTGTGTATGTGTGTCTGTGTTTATGTGCGTCAGGGTGTGTGTGTGTGTGTGTGTGTGAAGGACAGAACACAATAACAATCAAATGTCAACACTAACCACACGGCATCTTCCACAACATGAATGGTAACACTTCACAACACTCACTGGACAGCAGCTATAGTAGAGCGGTATGTGTCGGCATCACACACAGTAACTAAGCCAAATAGCAACTGGCGGGCTTTATCTATACCATGTTCAAATGTGAATGCCTGTCTGCGGCTCCACCAATCAGAGCGATGCAGGTAGGCTAATTACTAATTACCACTTGCCTTGTTTGCCTGTTGCGTCTTGTCATTTACAGATACAATATATATATATATATATATATATATATATATATATATATATATATATATATATATATATATATATATATATGCACTAAATTTCTTTGAAGACACATATTGAGTCCATAATTTGGGTGCTCATTTGTAGAGTTTGTTTACTAAATACTACAAGGGCGCCCAACCGTTCAGTCCACACGCATGCATCCCTCCCTACTGTAGCTACGATAGTCCAACTAGTCTATAATCAACACTTCCAGTCCTCCTCCTCGCCAGACATTTACGAGTAAACAATCGTTTTCTGATTTCTCTCGGGGTTTTTTTAATAAAAAAAATACTGCCAAAGATGGTTGTTACGTTGTCTGCATTCATCTTGCCTTGTTGTTATGTTCCGTTACCCAACTACTCGCACGGCGGCGTTCACTTGTTTTTTCTTGCTGTGTGTGTGCACATCTTAAAGAAATTGATCGTATTTTCTTCCTCCAATATTCCTGCTGAAAAATCAATTGCTCATAAAAGTACTCGTGTGACCCCGGCTTAAGACAAGGAAGTTTCTAAGAATTTTGTTGTTTATGCAAGTTCAGCGTCGCGAAGGTGATACACTGAAGTAAGGACAGAAGCACAGGAGTAAACTGCATTTCCACTTACAACACTCCGCATTCTCAAGACCTTACTCTATGGCTGGGAATCAAGGACCCCGTTAAAGTATACAAACTACGGTGGTTGAGTGAATAATTTATTGGGTTGCCTGTCCTCTACATTGGTCTAAGGTTCGATTCCCCTTTGAGGAGGTAATGTGCAGGTAATCGTAAAAAACATAACTGCCTCACAAATAACCAGAGCACAGAGAGGAAGATATACATAAGGTTCACCTGAAGATAAGCCCCAAGAAACGTCATTACGAGAGTCAGCATCAGTGACACGAATATATCTCGACTCCCGAGCCTCAACCATAACACCTGAAAGAGTCTAATCTGCTCTCACTACAGGAGGAGGTCCGCGCGACGGAACTTTGAGTCAAGATGTGCTACTGACACAACCATCCTGGCGATCCCTAACTAACACACACACACACACACACACACACACACACACACACACACACACACACACACACACACACATACATATAATTAATATTCTTGCATATTGAACATTGACCTGAAGTATGTGTGTGTGTGTGTGTGTGTGTGTACAGTACAGACCACTCACTGACAACAAACACCCTCTTCTACAGGAATGTCGGGGGCACGAGGACGAGGTGTTCTCCCTAGCAGTGAGTTACAGTGGACAGGTGATGGTCACTGGCAGCCGAGATAGCACCTGTGTCATCTGGCGTCACTCCCACACACCTGATACACCGGAAAAGTAATGCCACACCCACACACCTGCACACACTTGACGCCCCTGGGAGGTAATGCCACACCCAGACACCTGCCCCTCACACACCTGACGCCCTGGAGAAGCAAAAACAAAAACCCAAGTCATACCCACCTCACACATGAGACAGCCTGCATGGTTCAATCCCACCTTCTGTGTGTATGAGTTTGTCTAATATTCATCGCGATCAACATTACAAAAGGCTTCAAATCACCTTAAAATTAACCCTTTAAGGACGACACTTTAACCCCATGAGGATTATAGCATACAATGCCGTCCATAAAAAGAATTATAGGTCAAACTATCAACATCTAAGAGATACGGACACCATCGTCCTCAAAGGATTATAGACTAAAGTTAAATAATAATAAATTCTAAGTGGTTTCTTGTTACTTTACGATTGGTATAAATTTCATATTTCCCGTGATGTTTTTCTTTTTCCTGTTCATCGTTTATCATATTATTAGTAGTATTGTCTTCGTGTTTATTATTATTTTGCTATATTATAATTTTCATTATCTTATTATCATTATACTTATAATCCTGATTTTTATTAATTAAATATTTTTTCAGCTACTAGAGTTTAATAATATTCTATAAACCACCAGTAACTAGAACAGTGATCCTACTGGTTTAATAATGCTCTAGAAACCACCACTAGCCTGTACAATGGTTAATAATGCTCTAGAAACCACCACTATCCTGTACAATGGTTAATAATGCTCTAGAAACCACCACTATCCTATACAATGGTTAATAATGCTCTAGAAACCACCACTACCCTGTACAATGGTTAATAATGCTCTAGAAACCACCACTATCCTATACAATGGTTAATAATGCTCTAGAAACCACCACTATCCTATACAATGGTTAATAATGCTCTAGAAATCTTAACTGACCGGAGAATGTAAATCATTAAACCAGCTTCACAAATGCACAAATAACATGAAACAATAATCCATATCCACAGGTGAATAAAACAGTATCTGGTTATAAGGATCCAGACACCACTGAAATTTAATGATCAGAATCCGGGCGCCATTGAAAATTTATGAAGATCCAAACACATTTTTTTTAAGTTTCAACATTTTGTGGCATAACTTATAATTAGAAAAAAAGAAAAAAACATGAAATAATAGACAGACGAAAATAAATAAATATTTATTAAAATGTGAACATTTACATATGAGTGAAGTTAAATTAAACGACAAATAATATGTATATAACTTTAAGATGAATTGTCAGGGAACAATAAAATATATAATAAAATATATAATAATAATACTAAAAATCATCATCATTATTATTACTATTATACGAAGCACTGAGGAGTCGCTGCCTCTCGTCAGAGCTGAGGATGACGGGTGACATATTGGGTTGTGGATGACGGGTGAGGATGACAACAATGGATCACACTTGCTGGGCATCAATAGTGGACCTCGTGTACCTAAACCTGATGAGCAACAGCGGCAGGATGGAGACAGAGGTGGAGAAGACCAATGTGTAGGTCATCCACTGGTAACCTGCATGGGGGTCAAAGGTCACACGTGAGTAACAGAGAGAGACAGAGAGGCGAAGAGAAAAGAGGAGGAGGGGGGCGGTAGTTCAGTTCTACTCACCGACGTTAGGGATGAAGAAGACGAGGAAGAAGAAGATGCTGATGAGGTTGTCGGCGGCGGTGATGGCTCCAGACACCAGGATCTCAGGGGCAGGGTAAGCCAGATCGACCCCCATCTCGTAGAAGAGCGGAATGGTAGCATAGTTGAAGGCCGTCCCTCCCACCACTGACGCATATACCTGCCCTGTGAGTCAGAGTGAGTGAGGTTAATTACTAGATACATCACTGTGGATACTACATTATGTCTAATATATAGATGTAGGCTGTACATATGTGGTTGGTTCATGGTTAGTGATCTTTTTGCTTTATAATTTGTCAGGATAACAATTTGAAAAAACAAATCTTTAATCCATGGTAAAATGTGAGTAAGTGAATGTTGAAGTCACAACTTCTTTCTTATATGACCATCTTTGTATATTATTATTACTACTCTTATTACTACTACTACTTATTTAAGCAGAATGGCCTCCAACCTCTCATTGTAGCCATACCTTCTCCATATGCTTTATTACCTAAATATCCTAATACGAAAGTAACTATCATAGCCGAGTAAGTTTAGCCACAGATCTATGCAGCATTCAGTGACTATTCCCTCATAGTCAATATCTGCCACTGTTGTTAGCTTAGAGGCCAAAGATCTTGTTCCCCGAAGCAAAGCAATGCAGACCCAAGTAGAGAAAAGGACAGGCGACATCTCAACAAGGCTGCAACATAGCTTCTGGGCTGCTGCTTCTGTTCAGATTACACCTCGACCAGTCTTGTATAGAAGCACCTTGCACTTGTCCCACCCTGCCAGATGTTGTGAACACAGTGAAGTGAAGCTTACACCCTGTTCTTGTCATTCTCGCTCCTCGTTTGTGCAGCCTTGAGAGACAGGTTACGGTGACATGCAGCCATGGGATCAAACATCCTAATATTAACGAAGGCTCGTTGTCCCCACGATTACTACTACTACTACTATTACAAGTTATAACTCTACCATTTGCCCTTGGTGTTTGAGGATGGCCGGACCTAGGGCCACTTAGGCATGAATTTGTTTAAGGTGTAGGTGCTGTTGCCATCACAACAACACACCCTAAGTTAACGAGTTGTGTGACTCAGTGTCAAGGAATAATCCAAGAAGACTGGACAACTCGCCAACTGCACTGGCTAACCATTACCCCGGAACATGATCCGCAAATCGATTAACATCCGGGTCTCCAATTACTGCTGGGTATACAAAGGCAAATGGCGTAAAGAAACTTGCCCATAGTTTCCCTCTGCCCGGATATCGAACCCGGGACCACTCACTGGCGAGGCTAGCATGCTAACCATTACATCACAGGTCGCCTCTACTACTCACTGTGACTACACTAATAATAATACTGTACTACTACAAAAATTCATTACTACTACTCCTATAATAACAACACAACACACAACCAAGGAACAAAAATACTCTAAATTAACACTAAGATCGGATCACCTGAAGATTAGACACCGCAGCTAGTTTAATTTATGAATAATCACCCTATTGCTCCCTGGGATACAGTTCATTAGGTTAGGTTAACTTAAGGAAGGTTAGGTTAGCATAGTTTATCTTCGGGTGAAATAAGTTAGGTTAGGTTAAGACTAACACTTGGTGAGAGGGATGACGCCGTAGGTGAGGAGGAGGAACCAGAAGTAGCAGAAGGTGGTGGCCAGCAGGAGCAGCACCAAGGAGGTCCTCACGTGGCCATGGAATAGGTCAGTGAAGCGTCCGGAGACAACGGGCGATATACTGGACACGATCATCGCTGTCTGGGCCACCCACATGGCCTCGTCCTGTCGGGTGGATGAGGGAAGAAGTGAGAGGTTGTCGGGTGGTAAGGGAGGGGGAGGTGAGAGGCTGTCGGGTAGTGAGGGAAGAGGGAGGTGAGAGGCTGTCGGGTAGTGAGGGAGGGGGAGGTGAGAGGCTGTCGGGTGGTGAGGGAAAGGGGAAGTTAAAGGCTGTCGGGTCGTAGAGAGGGAAATAAAAAAGCTGTCGGGTGGAGGAGAGAGGCAGTCAACAATAACTCTTACCCCTCAAATTACACTCGATACAAATTCAACCATTATCGTTTATTTCCGGCATGTTGTGTCACTACCCGATTAGAAATTGAAATTCATCAATAAAAAAATACATGACAAAAAATCATCACATCATTTAATCATAAAATAAATCGGGTAAAGTGAGAGTGAACGGTGTGGTCCTGTTAGTGATAGTGAACGGTGTGGTCCTGTTAGTGACAGTGAACTGTGTGGTCCTGTTAGTGATAGTGAACGGTGTGGTCCTGTTAGTGATAGTGAACGGTGTGGTCCTGTTAGTGATAGTGAACGGTGTGGTCCTGTTAGTGATAGTGAACGGTGTGGTCCTGTTAGTGACAGTGAACTGTGTGGTCCTGTTAGTGATAGTGAACGGTGTGGTCCTGTTAGTGACAGTGAACTGTGTGGTCCTGTTAGTGATAGTGAACGGTGTGGTCCTGTTAGTGATAGTGAACGGTGTGGTCCTGTTAGTGATAGTGAACGGTGTGGTCCTGTTAGTGATAGTGAACGGTGTGGGCCTGTTAGATCTGTACTGACATATTCTAAGCGTAGTTCTTCCTTCTCCACTCAAATCTGGGGAGGATATACACACACAGTACTGCCAAGATCAACCTAGTTTTGTTTGGGTAGAGGTAAGGAATGCACGCCTACTGTACTGTACTTGAATTATTAAGCTACAATGTTTGGTGCTGAACAGTGTGGGGGCGGCAGGATGTGACGAGAGAGGGAAGGAGAGAGGAAGCAACTATACCTGGTGGAGGCCCAGTGGGAGGAGGGAGTAGTTGAGGACACTGCCCCAGGCGATTGAAGGCCCCACCACCACGCCGTAGGTCACAACGAGCACCAGCCAGCGACCGTTCCTGTACACACAACACAAGTTAGAAACACATCAATTTGTTATTACTTGGACTGAAGACAATCAATTTTCAGTATATAATTAAGAGTATTCAATTCTCATATTATTTTCAGCTTTTTGTTAAGATTCCTTTGGAGAGGACCGGCCACTGCTAGAATTAAAATAGGTTTTGTATTGTACACGTGAAACTATAGTTTATTGTATTAAATATCACTCAAAGCATTCAACTACATTTATATGAATTAGTGGAATACTCTTGGCCCGGTGCATAGATAAAGTTCCCTACCATCAAATTAGTACCAGAGCAAGCGAACAACAGTGCCTGGCGTTCTCTACTACCTTACCTTGATATGAGTGCTAATGAAATATACAACTAACCAGCGATACGCCTGCCTTCCCACTACCCCGACAAAGACAGGCTAAGCTACGCCAGGCAATGAAAAAAACAAAAACAACGCACGCAGAGACAATCATTTCACGGCAGAACGTGGACTTTATACTCACTTGGCCAGGGCGGAGAAGGAGGTGAAGAACTCCAGTCTGGCCGTGGCGGAGGTGAAGGAAGGGGGTGTGGGGGGCTTGGACGGGAAGTAGATGATAACAGCCACAAGCAAAGCTCCGGAAACACCTGCGCCTGTACCAGACACCAGCACCATGGTAAGACCCTTCACTTGCACCTATAATACGGTTAATCCTCACACACACACACACACCTCTTTGATACTCATGATAATGGGAGGGATAATTACCTCAAGTTTTGACTTATGGTGAAATAGACCGGATTGAAGGAAATAATAATACTACACTACAGGTGAACTACAGTCACTCAAAAAACTATCCATACAAAATTGCGTTGAAAAAATATGACACAACGGACGAAGGATTTTGACAACCCTGGGAGTCATCGATCACCCCAAGTACAGATAGTTTTTTGGAGTAAATCTATATAAACATATTCTGGAGAGAGAAAAATCCTGAGTAAATGGAAAAATCTGAAAAGAAAGTTTGAAGGAATGTGAAAATTATCATAAAAAACAATCATTGTTTAGAGAAATGTGAAGAAGAAAAATCGGATGCGTTACCAATGTAGAGAACCAGCATAACGTCTTCCTGTATGTCGAGGATTGAGGCGTGAGGAGTCGGTAACCTCACCAGCAGGGGCTCCAAGTAACTCCCCACACCACTCAGCTGACTCGCCCCAAACATCAAGGCTGTGTCAACGGTGTACCAGGTTAGGTTAGGTTAGTTAATACATTTTGACGATAAAGATAACTTAATATTTAGTTTCTCGATGATAAAATAGTAACATTTCAGAGGCATTCTGCAGGATATTACGAGCCTACACAAAATTCAATGGGTTCCTATTCCCCCATGACTCGCTCCCAAAATTTTTATTCATAATTTTTGGTTTTAGAAATTACAAAGTTCAATAGATTAAAGAACAAAGGGATAAAATAATTATATTTCGAAACATAAATGACAAAATAAAATTTGAAAGGGGGAAAAAGTGTGCCGTCAATGATAATAATAACAGGAAATTATATCCAGGAAGAAGAAGAAGAGGAAGGAATAGAAGAAGAAAAAGAATTAGAAGAAGAATTAGAAGAAGAAGGTGTAGGAATAACAAAATACAGGAGGAAAAAGAGGGAGAAGAGGACAGCACACTCACTCACCCAGTGCTGTTGTCCTCTCCTGGGGTGGGAACCAGTGAGAGGCGACGAGAGGCGGTGCTGATAACACAAAGGTACTGGCCACCCCTACCAGCACCGCGCACACGTGACACAGTCTGTGGACATATAACACGTGACACAGTCTGTGGACATATAACACGTGACACAGTCTGTGGACATATAACACGTCACACAGTCTGTGGACATATAACACGTGACACAGTCTGTGGACATATAACACGTGATATAGTCTGTGGACATATTACACGTGACACAGTCTGTGGACATATAACACGTGATATAGTCTGTGGACATATAACACGTCACACAGTCTGTGGACATATAACACGTGACACAGTCTGTGGACATATTACACGTGACACAGTATGTGGACATATTACACGTGACACAGTCTGTGGACATATAACACGTGACACAGTCTGTGGACATATTACACGTGACACAGTATGTGGACATATAACACGTGACACAGTCTGTGGACATATAACACGTGACACAGTCTGTGGACATATTACACGTGACACAGTATGTGGACATATTACACGTGACAGTCTGTGGACATATAACACGTGACACAGTCTGTGGACATATAACACGTGACACAGTGGACATATAACACGTGACACAGTCTGTGGACATATAACACGTCACACAGTCTGTGGACATATAACACGTGACACAGTCTGTGGACATATAACACGTGATATAGTCTGTGGACATATTACACGTGACACAGTCTGTGGACATATAACACGTGATATAGTCTGTGGACATATAACACGTCACACAGTCTGTGGACATATAACACGTGACACAGTCTGTGGACATATTACACGTGACACAGTATGTGGACATATTACACGTGACACAGTCTGTGGACATATAACACGTGACACAGTCTGTGGACATATTACACGTGACACAGTATGTGGACATATAACACGTGACACAGTCTGTGGACATATAACACGTGACACAGTCTGTGGACATATAACACGTGACACAGTCTGTGGACATATTACACGTGACACAGTCTGTGGACATATTACACGTGACACAGTCTGTGGACATATTACACGTGACACAGTATGTGGACATATAACACGTGACACAGTCTGTGGACATATAACACGTGACACAGTCTGTGGACATATAACACGTGACAGTCTGTGGACATATACACACGTGACACAGTCTGTGGACATATAACACGTGACACAGTCTGTGGACATATAACACGTGACACAGTCTGTGGACATATTACACGTGACACAGTCTGTGGACATATTACACGTGACACAGTCTGTGGACATATTACACGTGACACAGTATGTGGACATATAACACGTGACACAGTCTGTGGACATATAACACGTGACACAGTCTGTGGACATATAACACGTGACAGTCTGTGGACATATAACACGTGACACAGGCTGGATGCCAAAAGTCATAAAACATAAATTTTAGGATTATAGATTGGCTTGCTTGGATCACTTTAAAGATAGCTACCCTAGTTTATTCCACCTTGAGATCAACCATCATAACGATAACCTAACCTAACCTAATGCTAGCCTAACCTAACCTAATGTTAGCCTAACCTAAAATAACCTGACCCAAGCGTTAGGATATTTAATTACCAGATAAAAAAAAGCTGGTTGGAGTGCTAATCTTCAGGTGATCCGTTTGCTTTTATTAGTGTTAATATGTAATGTGAACTAAGAAATTTGTGTAAATGTTACAACAGCACAATGTGCACTTGGTCTTGATACCCTCTACTATAACCAGCTTGTCTCAGTGAATCCCAAAAGAGTTGACGCCTCAGCTAAACTCGCGTCTAACAAAACACTGTTGAATACAATCGAGATCTGTCAAACAGAACCGTGAAGAATGTAATCAGGAAAGAACTTGTTGATGAATTTGAAGCAAACATATAAGTACAAACAGACAAAAGTAAATCCTTTGTCTACTACAATGAGGTGTATCAAGTAAAACATGTATATGGACCAAGAAACAAGATGTTGTAACCGCTAGACTAACATTAAGATATGAGTACCTCTGGCAGTATGCCCTGAAATGTAAAGTGTGTGAACAGACAGATGGCCGCACAGCACAACACTACACTACGACCTAGACTGTAAAAAAATGACACAGCACTTTATCTGGCGGCAAGATAGTTGATATATCAAAATTGTATCCGCATTTTGCAGGTACGAGCTAAGTAAACTTATATGTACCGAACTAAACAAACAATATACGGGAATTAATCTGTAGCACTCACCGCCACTTTATCCTGACCACTGGGGTCTGATAAACACCCTTTGTGGCCTCTAATCTGGAATTCCTTTAGTGCTACAGCTCACTGGATGTGTATGGGGATGCACAATAAACTAGCTGTGGTCCACGGCAAAATTCAAATTTAAGTCGGTGATTAGAGAGAGGGAAGGACCTACCAACACACACACTCACATCGTAAAGGTGGGGACGGTCCGGGTGAAGCAGCGTAGAGATGTGCCGACGAAGATAAGGGCAGCGCTGGCGACGACCCCCGCCCTCAGGCTATAACGCTGCGTGGCCCAGCTCATGGGGAAGACGAACACCACGAACATGATGGTGCCCCAGTTGGCCATCATGGCCACAGTGGACGCCCCCCACCCAGGGAAGGCCGCACCCATACTTTCACTGATGGGACCCCAAGTGTTCCACTGCACACCCTGGACACAGTGCATGGTAAGGATAACTGAAACTACTACAACTTTGGGTTAGTAAGTAGCAAGTCTCACCTCCACCTACTTTGAGATAAGGTAGAGACAAAACCTCTCTCTCTCTCTCTCTCTCTCTCTCTCTCTCTCTCTCTCTCTCTTTCACACACACACACATGCTGGTTTGTGTTGAGCATATCCTCGTCACAATGCCTACATTACCTACCATTTGTTTCCAATCTTTTTCTTTTTAAGCAGACGAGGAAAGTCACTGTCAGCCCTGGGCACACCTCGAATTACAAGGCTTAAGCATCAACAAAACGGGACCTCCGTATCAGCAACACCAATCTCTACTCAGGCTCCTTCGTAATGAAGTCATTCGTGAAAAACGGCCTCTTTAAAGTTATTACTATCCAGCCATGCAACACCTGAAGCAGACCAACATCAGTCAGTGGTACCTGTAAGATACACTGTATGAACTGTGCCGTTTAAATAAAAAGAAGAGCTCCCTCCCCTTCCTCAGCCACCTCATCAATGATGACGTAGTCAAATAAACTAAAGACCATTTTGTCACCCTATACCAGGCGCCTCCCAGTTTTACCCCAACCGTTTCCCAGCTTACTGTCCAACCTTGTCGACTCTAAATTTCATCTGCTACATCCTAGAGAAACGCCAGACCTCTGTGGTTTACACTTCCAAACACTACACCAAAGCGTTTGACAGTAATTTACAACTCAATTTTCAACAAAGTCATCGACCTTAGGATTCGATAAAGTCTCATTTACTGTCTGGCAGACTTCCTGAGTGACCTACATCAAGCTGTACATTTCCGTCACCACCTTTTAGTTAGACAAAGATCAAGTTCAGACGACCTCACACTGATCGCCACTAGAACAAAATTCATTCTTAACATTAACATCGCCAACGGATCGTAACTAATTTGTGTTCACTTCATGCTGCTTCTTCTCCTCGTAACGTGTCTGTGCTGAAGCTTTTGTAAAGCACATCATTCTCTCTATGTACAGTCCACGCCACTTATAGGCCACACAGACTGGCGTCTTCGAAATTCCTTACCAGTAACTTCACTTGGTCCATCCCCCCCTCCCTCCTCTCCTCCAGAAACACACACACCAGCAATTAATCAGTGGTCAGCCAAGGTGTAAAGTGAACGCTTACCCTCAAGCACTTTAATATTGACAGATTTTAGAAGAAAACAACTTTAAAAGTTTGTCATGCTCACGTATTCGAGGGTAAGACATTGACTTTACACTGGAATTTGAAATTTTGATCATTATTTTTGGGGGTTGAGAAATTAATTGTGCTCAGAATCATAGTACAGTACAGTATGGGTATTCCCCGAAGTGCAGACTAAATATATGTGTTCAATAAATCGTTAATTATCATCCTTATTATCACTACCATTATCACACATACACACACGCACACAGTAAGGACTCACCTGCACCCACGATAGTACGCAGAAGACGGCGAGGATCCAAAACCTGGTGGTGGTGGTGACGTGGGCCGGCTGAAGGACTTCCCTGTCGTCACCCTCACCACCATGGTACGAGGGGCACCTCTTGTCATCCTCCCCAGGTAAGAGCCTCGTGGACTCCGTGCAGTTACTGTTGCTGCTGCAGTCTATCTCACAACCGGATTAAGAAGGTTCATAAAAAGGTCATAAACATAGTCAAAAGGTCATAAACAGTTAAAGGGTCATACAGTGAACAAGTTCAAAAGATCTAAGGCGCCAGAACGAGTAGTCAACATCCCTGTGCATTTAGCCTGGCCATGTCACACACTGGGCAGACACGGTTAGCAGTCACAATCTGCTTCACACAGGCGCACGATATAGGATCTACTCGCCAAGGTCACAGGACAACAAGGCGCCTATTAAAGGTCACCATTAAGTACCTGGAGGAATCTTAGCGCTGAGGTGTGTGTGTGGGGACCTCTCGCCCTTGCAGGAGGATCAATTTGGTTCTTCCTTCTGCTAGGGCGACGTCTAAACTTAAGAAAGGTATTTTAGTTATGAAAGAATGAAAACAGTGCCACTATCCTGTCTATCCCATTGTCAATCTATCCCTTAATTATCATCCTTATTACCAATACTATTATCACACACACACACACACACACAGGAAGACTTAAGGCGCCGTCACACTGGCACTTTTTCCGTCAAATTTCACGGTTTCCGTCTTTTTTTTTCCAACGAATTGCCTAATTTTCTAGAGCGTCTCGCTCAGACGAAACGTATCATTTCAGCCTGACTGGCTTCCGCCAATTTCACTAAAGTCAAAATCTATACTCGACAATGAGGATATTTATATAAAATAAATATCGAACCATGTAAAATAACTAAATTTAATTTAAGAAGTATTCAATATTCAATTTTTAATAAATTGCTTAAGTGTGATTTTTATTAATGTTGATATTTGTAAATATATCTGAAAAGTTTGTTTACATTGAGCCATGTGTTCAACTTCTTCACGGCCCCTATCTATTCCTGTATGGACATGCCTGTCTGAAGAATACACGATAGATAACATTAGGTCTCATCGTTGTCTGTGAGACCCAAGGGACTTCGGTCAATTGACCGACCTATTGATGAACACTTGCACAAAATTCTAAGGTCGTGTGTCATAAACATTGATGTCAATGATTTTTCTACTAAACTGCGTCAAAAATCAAACTAGAGACTAAAACTGTGACATGCATATCTGTTCAATAAACTAAGTCACATTGAAGCCATGTGCAATTGATATTAGAAGATATTCTTAGTCCAATAGTAATTACTTTTTACTCTACAAAAGCGCCTGAGTACATACTGTATAAAAGAACATTTATTGGAATTTTCTGATGAAAAGGGGAGTCCGGACCCCAGGACGCTTCCCTTGCCAGGGGCATCATAGCCCACCACGGACATATAAAACTGCACAGCACACGGCCACACAGCACATGGCCACACAGCTTTCAGTACAAAGGGAGGCATCCCAGCTCACTAACATCTGTGCAGTTATTAATCAATTGCAGGTGTTACTCATTAGCACGTTACGCGTCAGGTAACCTGAGGGACGTACTATGTTGGAGAAGAACCACGAACTGGATCGCTAGGTCATTTTCTTCCTCTAACAGTTTTTTTTTTACCATAACCTAACTTACATAGTCTAGACTCACTTAACCTAACAGTTATCCAAACAGAGCCTTGCCAAACCAAATCCATACAATCAAATCTACTCTTCACTACCCTCACCTAATCAAACTACTGCGTATCTTAAATTGTAATTGTTAATGACAAGAGTATTTACTAATTCAGAATACTGTACGCATTTTAAAGACCCAAATGTTGAAGCACAGTAATATATTTTAACATCAACGCATCTTACCGTGAAATAAGAGCACGCGTGTACTGTAGATACAGTAATATTCTCTCGGTTGTAATTTCGACGGTTTTAGTTTATTGTGTCCAAGGTCAATACTGACCTTGATCATGTCTATCGTTGACTGTCTGACGATTAGGCTTTTCTCGGTTATTAATAAAATACGCATGAAAATTTGTCACACTTGCATGAGGGGAAAATCTCATTTGGCAAATGGGGAATCTACATTACCCATTGTTTTTCTTTGTCTTAATTGACACATTAACACGAAAGAACACAAGGCGTAGGTAAAATGCGACGTTAAAAATTAATGGTTGCATCAGAGATGTAACCAGGACAAGTTATGCGATTTTAAAATTAACTAAATAATAAATCAAGTGCGTATGTCCTAAAGTGATTTGTACAGTACGGTAAACTGTTGGTCCCCCGTTGTGTACAGAAGCTCTCCGACAACAGGTAAATGGGTAAAAGAGGAAAATAGACTGAAGAACGAGGGCCTATGGCTGGTCGATTAATCTATCTCATGTCAATATATACCTAATCTTAACCTGTTCCAGTCAATTTGAAATTTTTATTGCGTGTTCATTAATGTTAATATTTCAAATAATTATTTTTAAAGTACAACTCGTAAAATTACTTTTCCCGACGCTTCTCATTAGTAAACCAGCTCAACTTTGCCTCTTGTCTACAAATATGAGAACCAGTTTACCAAAACACATGTGAAATAGCATTTCCTTCCCTTTCAAGTTCTGGAGTAATGAAAGCTTATCGAGAATTTCACTTCTTTCTATAATTCAAAGTGTTTTAATATTTCATCTCGAATGAAAGTTGTCACAGTAGTACTAGAGACCAGTGGACTAGTGCAATTAATAACTTTGTTGCACACTTAAATCTTTAGTTTTTAACGCACAATGCAGCAATAATAACACCACGGAATTCTGGATTAAGGCTTAGCTGAAGGTTCAAGCTTGGTAGCCGGAACACTTAACGTAAACACACCTCACCTGTTGACATTCCAAGCTATATTTTGTGGTGTTGTCTTCTTCGCCGCTGCTCTACTTCTTTCAAAAATCATTCGATGCTGCCTGTACGATTTTCTTGTCAATGCATAAACGTTAAGTCTTTCACTTAAAAGTTGTAGTCCTTGGTACATAACAAATTACCACGTGTATCAGTGCGTAGTGTTATGCTCCTGGCTGTGGCCGCTGACTGAACCGCTCACGCTCACACCCCCACTAGGTCACACCAGGGCCGGCCCATAGCTACAGATGTTTGAGGTGGCACACCGAGTACAATAGGCAAATCCTCCCTCTTGACATGTCAACTGGGCCAATATTGATAAGAACACAATTACAACAGTTTTTAAGTATTGTAAGCCTAAGGAAAATCCGGATTTACTTGTATAAGACGACGATACCGCATTAAGTTGAGGACTGGGACAGCGTTTGTAGGGAGAAATCCACTACAAAGTATAATATACTAATCCATAATTATTTCGAGAAATCGTTTGATGATATAATGTTATTACTGCACTTCAACAACTAAAGTCTTAGAACCTAACAGCGTTAGTAATTCCACTAATTCATCAACAAATAAAAACGAAGTGACATAACTGTACGTTAAAGATAAATAAAATACCGTTGTGCTCAGTAAATACAGTACAGTGTACAGGTATATACGTAATCAAACGTAGCCTCCTCGAACACCTATTAATAGAACGCGTACCCACCGCAGCCTATTTCCGTATGTCACTTCAAGTTAGAAGTTGTTATTAAAAAAGATCTTGAGCCTCATGACGCCTCATGTCCGAGGTTACATCAGTCAACTATTTGCAGGTCACCCACTACACTAGTAAAATAAAAGTGTCATTGCTGGAATGGAAAACAATCAGCACTGAATCGGAAGGATTAGTGGCGTTACCATACATGACCTTGTGGAGCTACTGTTACTTCATAATTATGCTCAATGTTAACCTAATTATATATAACTATTATTGCTGTTGTAGTGTTATTACACCAATCTAACTAAATTTCCAACATCATTAAAAAATTACGAGTTGGAACTCTATGAATAGAACATGAAATACAGTATTTATTACGCTGTACACAGTAGACTAAACACCATTATTAATTTAAACTAACCGGGATTGTTTCAAAAATAAAATAATCATGTTTTCCGAACGATTTTAATATTATATTAGTTCTTATATTAATCACTATTATTGGTTTTATTTATTATTATAGTATACAACGAAATAACACTAAATAATGATATTTAGAAGAAACATAACATATTACAGTTCCCAAACAATGATAGCCACCAAGGACGCCTCAGGAGATGAACTGATTGAAGGAAACTGTGTCTGGATGCTGATGTCACTCTTCATTGATCAATTTAACTAGCATATCACGCTCGTTATAACACTTTACGGTGAAGTGGATATCATGTATAACCAAAGTAAATAGTTTTTATACTACTTTGGGTGTTGACCAGTCATACCCATTTAATAGAATCATCATAGAACTTTAAGTCTATACACCTATGCTTCAGTGATGTTAAGTATGCACACTCATAGTTGCATCCATCCGTTGTTTGTTGTGACATTAATTTGTGAAAAATATGAAATATTATGAACTGTTTAGGGACATTTGTAATTGAATACATGATTTATGTACACTATATCTGTATTATCTATATATGTGCCAAACCAATTGTGAACTATGACTATTTTACTGACTAAATACTAATTAACTTAAACCTTCTGAGGTTAGTTTAGGGTAGTAGCCAGGTTTTGGTTAGGTTAGGTTAGGTTAGGGCTTATAGCACCAGAAACGAAGGTCAGATTCGTTATGAATCGCAATAAGAATAATAGAAAAACTGTTCGTTTGTTTTTAAATCGAAACCTAACTACTATCATAAATTGATTATTACTGTGTATTGTTTTAATTAGGGTAGACCAGATTAGTTTGGTTCATGATGTGTTTCGCTGATTTGAGCAAATATCAACAATGGTTAGACACGGCTTTTCCTGTACTGTACATATTCTGCGAGGTTGTAGCTTTGGTAAGTTCAGTCAGTTACTTTCCATATCGTCTGTTCCCTTCATGTCCACTTAGAATGTATTCTGAAAACAAACAAAGCTAAATAAATATGTAGGAGAAAATAACACAATACTGTACTGTATATTGTTAAGGTTAGTCAGATTTGATCAGGTTAAGGTTGTTTAGCTTAGATCAGGTTATAGTTAGTTAGGTTAGGTCAGGTTAAGGGGGACCACTTGGTGATCTTCAGATTGTTACTTTCAGCCGTCATTAACTGATAGTAGAGCTTCTTAGAGTAAACAGAAAGGGAGAAAAGGAAATGTGAGCCACAGGTGTAAAAGAAATGGGAATAAACCATTAAGTCTTACCACTGCTTTCAGAGAACAGCTCGTGATGATCTCTGAAAGCAAGAAAGAAAAATGAAGATATTCTTAAAAGAACAATGAATAAAACAATGACATCAATTATTATGTTAAGTTTTAATTTGAAAGTCACAGACAACTATTTTGGGTCGGCTTTATTTCATACTGACTGTGAATCTTGGTACAGGTATCCCTCATTTAACGATGGGGTTGTGTTCCTGAAAAACCTAACGCTGAGCAAAACTATCGCTAAACAGAGGGCTAACATCAGGTTCAAACGGCAAGGCGATAAACACCAAGTACAGTACTGTACAATACTCCCTAATAATAATAATAATAAACAAGTTTGTTATAAGTGGTTGCATACTTAAATGAATGATTTATTAACACCAAACTTCTATATAAATGATGTGGTTCAGAGTGAACCTAATTTGAATAAGTTTCAAATTGTATATGTTTTAAAATTAACAAAATACTTTAATAAACAATAAAATTGATACATAGCATATCATAAAATACAATAGCACATATTTTATCTACAAAAAAATAGCTCTTTCCATACTTAAACCATCCTCTGGGCGACGCGACACAGTTCAGCCAAGCAGTCGCTCGCCAGCCTCCGAGACGTGTGTGTGTATGTATGCCGTAACACATCAGGGGCGGGAGGGAGTGTGGCTGGGTGGTGAATTGGCTAACACAGTTACAGCCCACTGCCTCCACACGCACAGTACATTCCACACCTACACATATATTTCTTATTTTATAGTGTTATATTATATTTTCTATATTTCTGAGCCACTTTAGAGTATTGTAATGATTTTTCCACAACTTTTATAGTTTCATTACAAGTAACACTGGCAACCATCTCACTGGCCACCTCATCCCCAGTTTTTCCCCTTCCTAGTGAGTCAAGCTATTGCTAAACCAAATTTTGATCTAACAATAAGGAAAAAAGAGTGTGAAAAACTTTTTTCGCTAAACCAAATTAACGTGAAGTGAATTATCGCTAAATGAGAGATACCTGGAGCCTCTAAGAATTTCCTGTTGACTGATACAAAACACAACATGCAGTGTGTAACTTTAGGTGGGACTTGGAGCCTGGGAGTTGTAAAAAGAAAATAATTGTCAACAGAGTAGGAAATAGAAACAATTGAACAGAATTCATACTAAAATATGCCAGGCAGATTTGGATCTGTCTCCCACTGCTTAACATAGGTAGCTACAGTACACATCATTTATCAGGAACCAGTCAAAATAATCACTTATTTTACTGCCAGTTATTATGTACAAATTACAAGTTTCATCATGAACCATAATATTTTTAGAGAGTGTAAGTTTTACCTTCCTTGTAACATTATGTGATAGCAGAATATGACATCAATAACAAATACTAGTTGTTAATTTCCTTTATTTTCAGGATAGAAACATTGACCTTCAGAGTAGTACTCCTGTACAAGAAAAAAAGGAGAAGGAGCAGGAGGTTCTGACACTCCAGGCTTCATCATCATCATCATGGGAATCTTGAATCCCTGTTACCTCAAGAGACGAGCAAGGAAGTGGTGGCCATATATAGTCGTACTGGTATTTCTCATTATTGGATATTATAAAGGTATGATAAAAGTGAATAAGAGGAAGGGTGTCTCATAGGTTGCAGGCTATATGAAGATTAAAGTTCTTCTAATTTTTTTTTTTCAGGTGAGGGAATCATAACACAGTGACATACTGTGTTGGTATTGTCGATTAAATTCCTTTGCAAATGATCAGTGTGTAGCATAAGGCTTTCCATACATGAATAATTAATGTGACTATCTCAAGGGCCAACAACCCTCATTTTTTCAGTTGCGTGTGGCCAGAAAATTTAAAATTTGCGGCCGGCATCACACATCCAAATACTGTATGAAATAAGCGGCTGGCTAAGTCGATAAGGTAAAATAAGGTTGATTGAACACTTGACGCAACAAACACCTAACTTGATAATCTTTGTAAGACTGAAAAATATCATACCTGGCACCAGAAAAATAACTTATAACTACAGTACTTATAAACATTACTGTCGGAATTCACAGATACCGTAGTTTTTCCGAGATTCAGATTAAGAAAGTTTTTTTTATTTGTTTCAAATTCTTTTCATTTTAAGTGACCGATTACTAATTTCTTGTTTGCAATGTGGCCAATTACTGTATAAAGGTTGTACACCCTTGCACTATCGCCTTCTTCATACATTTGTTATAATTCCCTCAACTGAAAAAAGATACCATTAACCTATGTAATACCCAGTACTGTATATTCCCATCAGAGCCATGAATTCACACTCCTGGGAACACTTGTAATTAATATAATATAATATAATATAATATATATATATACAGTCAATCCTCACATTACGCGGTCCCGCATTCCGCATTTCACCGTTAACGCGGTGCCTTGCCAGAACCTAACATGCTCACATTCCGCGGTCGTGAACCCCATTACGCGGAGAGCGGCTGGCAAGCCGCGCCATTTTTGGATCCAAACCTCCTGCCATCCGCCATGTTGTGTAAGAGGCGCAAAAATGGTGCGCACAAGGTCGCCCAGTCATCAAAACATTACCAGTTCTTCACCCGCCACCCACTACAGCCGGCCCAAGTCAGTGATAGTGATAATTATAGTGAGGATATGGACTTATATGAACTTTGGGGGGTTTGACAAAGAGGCCCTGCAAGCCTCTGTGGTGGATAGTGATACAATTGATACAAGTGATACAGGTGAGGGCCAATAATCTGCCCTCTGCCTCGGAACCAACCGCCCATCCCCGTGTGCCCAGCCATCTTTTCTACTAATGTAAGTGTTAAAAAACCTAATATTATTGATATTTCTCTTAATTATTAATTGTGTGTGCATGCCATCATAAAGTTAAGATAATATTTTTACTACAACATAGTTGTGTGTTGTCAAAAAGTGGAGTTTGGGGATCGGCCTGGACTCCATTTCAATTAATCCCATATGTTATGTTGTTCACTTTACGCGTTCCTCACTTTCCGCGGTACCCTCCGGGTTACATTAACCGCGTAATGTGAGACCCAACTGTATATATATTGTTTGTTTGTTTTTAACACAAAGATAGCCCCAAAATGCATGTAGTGTTATGAAATACAGTACGGGTATGTATGCTTTTATAATATACTGTACAGTACTGGTACTGTACTGTATTGTACTGTACTGTACTGTACTGTACTGTACTGTACTTTTCATGTACTATCCCTCATAATTATTAGTACTGTACAATATTCTTAAATGTTGAACCTATGTTAGGACACAAATTTAGTTAGTCTTCCTCTTGATATTTACAGGACTGTTCAGCCAGCTCTCAAGTTATTCATCAGACTCATATGAAGAGGAGCCAAGAGCTATTTTGAAAGAGGTGTTTTCCTTAAAGAGACAAGTAATAATTACAGTGTATCATAATGTGCATGTACAGTAGCTTAAATGTCTGTGAATACTGTATTTTGAAGGATCTGTATGTCTGGGGTGTTGGAAATATAGTACAGTACCACAGTAACACACTTGCCTCTCACCGTTGTGTTCTTGTTTCAATTCCCAGCACAGGTTAGACGTTAGAAGTGTATTTGTACCAAACTTAAGTTTTTTCCTGGTACAGTACGGTACTCCAATTTCTTCCTGTACAATGAAGGTCATAAAGTACAAAGGAAGACAAAAAACAGACCAACCACTTGTAACAGCTTATAAACTGATATACTCAGTGATATAAAAGTGTTAAATTATCTGGTAATTGGAGAAAACAATAACTGAACAAGCAGTGATCCATGTACTTAATGGGGCTCACATCCCATCAAGTGTTGATGGATTAGATTCTTTCATATTCCATGACAGTAGTTATAATCCTTACTATTTAATTATTTATAATCTATTGCAGGAGAGAAGAAACTCCAATAAGAGAAATTCCACCTACCTGTCTCATGATAATTATCTGGATTACCTCGAAAAAACCTACGATGTTTGGTAAGATCATACAAGATAACACCCTTCACACATCTGTCCTGTGTTGGGAACTGAATCCAGACGTAGTGGTAGAGAGATGTGCATTCTTGCTGTAACCACCAACACACGCTGGTCTTTTATTTATTTATTTATTTTTTTTTTTTTACAAATACTGCAGTTTTATATATTTCTTCATATTAATGTAATATAAGTGCTTCGATCTGAGAATTAGGAAAATTAACTTTTATTCACAGTAACAGCAAAATAAAAAAAATTGTTTCCTACACAGGTTAAGTTAATGAGATCTGTAATCAAACGCTACTCTATACCAGAGACAGAATATTCGGATGTTCTGTTGCCAACTATATATGTTATCAGCCCAACGTATGCACGACCTCACCAGAAAGCTGAGCTAACAAGGTACAGGATGGTAATACCTGGTGTTTTGTTTTCCTACTTTTACCCTAGAATTAGATATTTTAATTGTGCCAGAGGCAGTATTTCACTTACTACATGTATTCTTGTAGTTGACCATCTCAGCAGACTGTATGAACATAATAAGATGCATTATTCATTGATGACAAATGTTTTAATTTGCACCACTCCTAAATGTGTCTTAACCCTTTCAGATTTCAGTGTAAGAATCATAACAAATTAAAACAAAACTCTGATCTGCCACTGTGATTAGTAACTGCAATTTCACTGATACGTTATGAACCATCCTACTGTCCACATGAAGTGTTCAAAACCTAGAACAGTAGGGTTGTAATGCTTGAAGCAATTTCTAAGTTTAACAAAGTGCGTGTGTGTCTGTGCATGCATGTGTGCATGTAGAAAGGAACTAAAAATTATATTGAAGAAATAATACATTTTATCAACAGGTTAAAAAACGTGTTCCTCCATATTCCTGCATTACATTGGATTTTGGTTGAGGATGCATCTCACAAGTCACAATTGGTGTCAGACTTCTTGAAATTATCAGATATAACATTCACACATTTGCATCACTCAACTCCTGATGACTGGAAACTCAAAGACAAGGTAAGCCAATAAATGGGAATACTGTATTGTGTTGTGTTGTCCAGAACTCTGTATTGTACTATGACATTTAGCACTGTTCGGAATGAATGGGACCTGTGTAAATGTGTTGTCCAAAGGGACCGAGGGGGAGTCCTCTGTTGTATAGGTCCTTGTAAATACAGTATTTATATGTAGTGTACATATTAATTTCAATATCTAAAGCTTTCAAGTTTTAATTTATATAAAACATGTGTAGCCAGGGCCATAGGAACAGATGTGGTCAATATTTGGCCATTTAATTTCTTATACTGTACAGTAAACATCTTGGGATAACAGACTAATTGGGGGGGGGGGGACACCATGGTGGCTAAAGCCGAAAGTTTGGTAAAGCCGATGACTGATAATAGCCAATAATTATCAGATTATAGTCCTGATAAACATTCTGTTAACCCGAGGGACAGTCTGAGAAGCTGCGTCGGTTTTTCTGTTTGAACGTGTGGCCCACACCATAAACACCACCACCTTTGTGCTTCACTGTATGTTCACAAACTGCTACAATATATAAGACAGTTTAAGTGTACTGTAGTACACTTATCCTTCCCTATCACAACCAAATTCTTGAAATGGAATTAACGACTCCAGGCACCCAACTCGACCTTCATCCTGGTCACCCATTCATTTCCAGTCTAGAACTCACATTATCCGAGAGGTTTCTTGAAAGATGGATCTCCCTCACCTTAGTTAGGACATCTGAAATACGGTAGGTGTTTAGCTTCTGTTTTGAACAATCGTTTTCAATGTTTACAGATTTGTTTGTTGCTTTTGTATTTGTTTACATTATGATGCAATGATTATTTAACTGTAAACAACTTAACTAGGATCCAGCCAGTTTGCCTGCTTAGAGGGACACAGACAACACCCACCATGGGGCAAAGAGAAGTTTATTTCACCAGTGCTTGCTAGAGTCTATTTTATAATGGCATTTGTTATCTCAAGGTCAACTAGGGATCTCACCTGAGATTTTTAAGAATTTTGTGGAGTGAACTGAAATTACATGCATTACAGGAAGTGTTATTCCAGAAATGGTTGCAGGTGCTATATTTATCACCTCAAGATCAGTTAGCTTGTTGGCAGTACAGCTGCAGTACGTATACTTCTCACAATTGTGTCCTGGGTTCAACCTCTGACAGATGGGAGAAGGGTGTTATCCAGTGTGATTCTACCAAAACATCAGAGGATTCCTCCTGTACTAACATTGAACAATTGTCATAAAGTACACTGTATAAAGAACAGACCAACCTCCCAAATGTCTAGTAAGTTGATAAGTGGTTAAATGATAAAATTATAATTATAATATTGTTAATTTCTGTTCTATCACAGGATCCAAATTGGAGAAAACCACGAGGAGTCTTGCAAAGAAATGCTGGGATTAAGTGGCTGAGGGAAAAATTCTTGTATGACAGTAACCCAAGAGGAGTAGTTTATTTTGCTGATGATGACAACACCTACAGTATAGAACTATTTAAGGAGGTAATGTCTGTTGGTGCAAGTATGTTGTGCAGACTTGGTTAGTAGACTTTGGATAAGTTCAGTTTTCATTGCATCATAAAACTTTAGTTATTTTAATGAGCAAAATATTTTTGATTAATATATATATTTAGCAAATGTTATACTGGGGTGATATATGAAGTAGATAGACTAGATGGATACCTTAAGATAATGTGGTGGAAAGGTAACATCAAAGCAGAATACATTTGGTAAGACAGTTAAAAAAAAAATTAAATCAATGACAGATTCTGTGATGCTCTCACTTAGTTCCAGCCAAACTGTTCCATAAGGTAGTTTTTGTAATTGCCCTTTTTCTACTACAGTATGATACAGAAACATTAAATATAATTTCAGAGACATGTTTGGTTTTCTATACTTCAGATGCGCGAGACACAGACAGTGTCAGTATGGCCTGTGGGTTTAGTTGGTGGTGTCATGGTGGAGCGTCCGCAGGTGAGCATCGATGACCAAACAAAATCTCATGTCACTGGTTGGCTCACAGGATGGAAACCTAACCGGCCATTTGCAACAGACATGGCTGGTTTTGCTGTAAATTTATCATTTCTTTTGAAGAAATCTAAAGCAGAATTCTCCCTGACTTCTAAAATTGGTTATTTAGAAAGTGATTTCCTGGAAAAGCTGATAACAATGGATCAGCTAGAGCCAAAAGCAAAGCTTTGCACAAAGGTAAGATACAGTATTTTTACCGAAAGAAATTCATTACTATAGAGGTATCCCCCTATTTACGATGTTCTTTAAAAACACATCGCAGGTCAAAATACTGTAAATAGGGGTTATTATAGCATGGGGTTCAATGGGACATATTCCCAGCCAATCCGACACCCACATGGATCGCCAAAAAAAAACCTTCCTGCACTAATACTACTGTATACCTACAACACAATTAAACAATATTTGCCACATCATTAAGAAAAAGCCTGGTCGTCATTACATGTCCCCTTCGAGGCTAAGGGGACTCTAGAATGTGGAGTGGAGATGTTACTCTGACTCCCACACAACCTCTGGGGAGCCTCATGCCACTTTACAATGTCAAGCTTCACTCACAGAGACACGTTTTTTCCCGAGTGCCTTGACCTTCCCAGACATTTTTGAAGTTACACTGCTTCCGTCACACAGAGCAAAAGCATTTGTCACAAAAACAGGGCAAATGATGAGAATGTTATTGCTACCAACACTGCTCACATCATGTTCACAACAAAGGCAAAGCACAATAGTCACCAAAAACATAGTGAAAATCACTTTACAGTCACCAAAACAGAGTACAATGTGTAAGGTATAAAACAAAACAAAATACAGATGATGAGTAACACCACTGACACTGATATATAATCGTTGAGCTACATGGTCACGGCCATGTGCTATCACCATGGAACAAAGCTTGGTACTGTAGTGCACCAGGTGGCCGTGGCAACACTCAGGCAGACTGCAGCTGACAATTGAACCGAGAGATGCGTTCCATATTTTCTGTTGGCCGGACAATGACCATTGTTCATGCGGAATATCGTAGATATGGTGATCACAAATCAGGGGATACCTGTAATTGTAAATGAGGATCATGTGTAAGGTAAGTACAGTACTGTACTATACAGGGGGTCCCCATCTTACGAATGTCCCGACTTATGAACGCCTGCCGATACAAATGGGGTTAAACTTAAAATTTTCAGTACTGTACAGTATTTTATTTACCTGATGACTTATTTTTTACTTTCATTTACTGTATTTTGTCATTCTATTTCTACTTTTGTCTTAAATTATGTGATTTTAGATGTTTATAAGAACTTATGCTATGATATAGTGGGATTTTAAACATTGATCTGTAAGTACGTTATGCACATAGCATGTTTTTCCAACTTAAGAACGTCCTCAGGAACGGAACTCTTTCGTAACCCAGGGACCTCCTATAAAAGAACACATCTAGTGAGGGAGGTAATGAGTAATTTGTAGTGAATGATGGACATCTGTTGCTTTATTCTGGCCACCCACCCTGCAGTACACCAGGAATGGCCTTACGAGAGGGATAATGAACCAGTTTTTTTCCAGGAACCACCAGTTAATTTAAATTAATTTCTGCTGCTTTATTGTTTTTTCCTAATTACAGTACAGTATATTTAATCTCCTGATTTTGTATTAATATTTTTTTTCTTCATATTTCTAGGTATATGTGTGGCATACAAGAACAGAGAAGCCCAATATGAAGGATGAAGAAAGGTTAAGAAATGCAGGAAAACCCACAGATGAGGGAATTGAAGTTTAGAATGTACCTTAGTTATTAAAGGATGTTCAATTAAGGCCACATTACATTTGTATGTAAATATATTTTTTGATGCAAAGAAAAATGTTGAATACAATGAACCCTGTAACTTTTAAGACACTGAGGAAAGTTATGTTGGTCACAAAAGATCTCTTATAATACTGTACAGTATATATACTGTATATACTGTACTGTACTAAGTTTTGTCGATTTAATATTGACAAGAAATACACAATTTTGAATTTACATGAACTTTCTACATTTGTGCCTAAAAGTTAGCTAATACAGTATAACAAATAAAGTGTTTTGTTTTCTGTCAGAAGTTTAACAACTCTACATTTATGCTTTGAAAAATAGATGGACAAAGTTGTGGCAACACTATACTGTTGACACTGTGGTGTGCTCAAGAATGTCTGCCACCTCAGTCAGATGTTACATTACTGACAACCTAACAAGATTATAAGAAGTCTATCTTACGGTAGCCTAAGTCACAAAACACATTCTTGTTTCTGAATGCCATAAGTAAGAGCTGCTTCTCGTTTGTCACAACCAAACCTGCTTACCGGGTACTTGAAAACTTACTCCGTTACTGCCAGTAATGTAGGCGACACCATGAAAGAGATAATTTACAATTTAAGCCTTTATGCACCGCCTGGAGAATAGTCCCAGATAGTTTTGAGGCTGTTTAAGCTGGGTGGAAAAAATTCAGGCGAGCACTGGGGCTAATTTTCAGGTGACCAGTAATAGCTAAAATTGGGAATGACTTCGCTGATGGTCTTGACTGCATCACTGATTGCTGCTGTACGCTGTAAAACTTTTGATGTGGTGATGGTTATTATTTGGGGAAGATTTTACGTGCAACCACACCTTCAAGGAAGCGCAAGATGGATCACCAATGCTGAGTTCTAAAAGTGAACTGTTTGTAAAGAGATGTTGATAAACAAGACAAAATTATAACAAAGTAGTAAGTCTTTTAGCTATAAAATGTACATGATATATTATGTACAGCATTGTATTATATTATAGTTTAGCTATACAGGGTATTGATTATTGTGGTTTCATATCTTAATCACTTCTGTCATTATATTCGTCTTCTTATTCACATACCCACAGCAGGCACGGGCAGCTGCTGGGGGGGGGAGGACCTCCCCCCCCCCCCCATATCAAACTTTTGTCGAGAGAAAACAGAATTGGGTTGGGTCAGGGAATTAACAGTCAGTTTTCTGAGGTCAGATAAGAAAGTACAATATCTAAGATTTAGGTTGGTTAGGTCAGTTACCTTAGGTAATTAAGGTTAAGACTCTCCTGACCCTAGTCTCAGTGGTTTGACAATACCAGTAAAATTAGATCATGTCATATAGTGCAGACCATTAACCCAGCTACTTCAGGTTTGTACAAGAAGCCATCATGACACTGACCACTTCTGTTTTAGAGTAAGTCATTTACTCCATAGGAATACACGGGTTTACTCAAGGTAGAAGTAGTTCAGACAGTATTTGTTTAAGTGATATCAAGGGCAGCTCCAGGGGAGTCCAGACCCTCCCTTTTCACCAGAAAATTCCAATACATTTTCTTTAATGCAGTATTGTACTCGGACATTTTTGTATAGTAAAAAGTAATTACTATTAACTTAAGAATATTGCCTAATATTATGTGCACATGGCTTTAAAATGGCCTCAAAATGCCCATGATGTTGGTCTGATTTCCTCTAAAATTATGGGGGTAGACTTACAGTGCCCCCCACCCAAAAAAAAAACCAGTTGGGTGAGCTCACCTTGTTCTCCCACCCACAACTTCTTGGACAACCCCGTCTTTAATATTCCAAGATCCGCCCCTAGATATTGATGTGGTTTTGTCATGGCACCCCTGTACTGTGATTTTTTATCAAGTTTCATGTGTCACATCTCTGAGGTTTTATACCAAGACAGTGCACTAATGTCTTTGTACCGTGATTTTAGATCAGTTTTAATTTTTATTTTAGTGTGATTTTAGATATACTGTACAGTACTATGCTGCCAGTATCATTGTAACAGTTTCATAATTATAGATTGTCACAATTAGCAACAGAGCTGGACATATGAACTTACCCTTCCCAGACAGTGTGGTTGGCAGAAACACCACTCAAATGTCTATGGCTCAACTATAGAATTATATTTTCTTAGATCAGACTATGCACCATAATTGTACTTTTATCATATCTTCATTGGAAATTCGATTTGCTGCTGAACTAAAGCAATATGTTGGCCGGTATTCACTTAATCCACTTCAAATGGCAAAGGTTACAAGACAACAATTCAAGATCCAGATTGCAAATTTTTTTAAATTGTATGAAATTGGAAACTTAGAAGGTGAAGCAGCCATCTGGTTTGAAATTTGATCTCAAAATAAAAATCAAGATGATGAACTGGAGAATTTACTCAAACACACCCCTCTATTTTTCTTCTATTAAACAAACAGTTACTATTGCTCAGACATTACCCACAAAAGCACGCCCAGTTGAGAGATCATTCAACACAAAGAAGGGTAAAAACCCGGTTAAGATCAATGATGGCAGGAGATCGTGTATCTGGACTGAGTGCAAACAATGACCTTAGGCTTAGTTCAGTAACAGTTACCCTTCTGGGAAAATGCTCCAGTTAGGTAAAACTTGTCTGCAAGTGCTGGAAATTAAGTTACAACCCAATACTGAGACCAAGACCTACTAGTATGGTAAAGATAAAGCCTGATACTAGTGGCAGAGCCATACTTAGGGGTTGACATTTTATACCCGATATATAAGATGACTCCTAGTTTTAAAAACAAAAATTTGAGCTTCAAAAGTTGACTTATAGGCCACAATATATGGTACAGTATTTGAAACGCATAACTACCAACATATATTTTGCTCCATATATTCTCTCTAGTACTTATTTTTATAATTTTACTCTCGTTTACATTCACTATCAACTCGTTTCTTGTGCAGGTCCCCTGAAATAAGTACAGTATAGTCTTCATTTACACGGTCAATTGAACCCATGGAGGTCCGCATAAAACGAGAAACGCGTAAACGAAATAACAGAACATATGGGATTAACTGAAATAGAGACTGGGCCGACCCCCAAACTACACTTTTTCCAACAATACGTACGCTGGGCACACGGGGATGGGGGATTGGTTCTGAGGCAGAGGGCAGATTATTGGCCCTCACCTGTATCACTTATATCACCTGTATCACTATCCACCACAGATGCTTGCAGGGCCTCTTTGCCAAACCCCTCAAAGTCCATATCCTCACTATCACTGACTTGGGCCAGCTGTGGCGGGTGAAGAACTCGGTAATGTTTTGTTGACTGGGCGACCTTGTGCGCACGCTTCCCACATAAATGATGGAATGAACCGTGTAAATAAAAATAGTTGGTCTGCCAAGGTGCCGCATAAATGACCAAACGAGTAAACCAAATCTGCGTAAATCGAGACTATACTGTACTTGTAATATTATTGTACAGTACAATACTTAGCAATGACTCGAACAGAAAAGCATTTTTTTGTAAAAACAGCACAATTTTAAATGTCATTTTAAAAAGAATTACCTTAACCTATAAATTTGTTTATCTTACCTTGATAAGTGGAGGAGTTCACTTTGTTTACTACACTTCATAACATCCAACATAATTTCAATGTCCAGTGTAATTCTCATACATTTTTTCTTCCCGTCACCACCTGTACTTGCACTATGCTTGTCATTCATTATTGAACGATTGCAAGGGCAAAACCAGACAAAGTTGATGCTGCACGTGAAGCTAAACCACTATTCACAGCGAGATAGAACATAATGGGACCGAGATTCAAGTTCTGACATTTATATTGTCACTTGAGTTGAAAAAGACACAAGAACGTTAGTGTAGGGAATGTTTATGTTGTGTTCCTCAATTAGTCAATGATGTCAGTGCAAAACAACGTATAGCTTGACGATGTATAACAGAGCCTCCCAAACTCATTCACAAACATCTGAAACTTTTCTTGCTAACTGCCCACTACAGAAGAGTTATTTGCTTACAGAAGGTAACTCATATCACATTTGCATGTCATTATCTTTAGTATATAAACTAACACCTCTTTTATTCATGCCTATTCTCAAAAAAATAAACCTGACGTTTCACTCTCTTTGTAAAACTCTTGGATAGCATTATAAAAAATATCCACTTGCCCCATATATTTTCAATACCGTACTTTAAATATTGCTTTTCTGTTTATTCCATCAAATATTGTTACTTAATCTAGATCTTTAAATGACACAAACCCTACTCACCACACTACAATATTGCTTTTTTTCTTTAATACAAACTTATGATTTACATATGCTCTTCCTTTTACAACTAACAGTGCTCTGCTCTTAATATTGTACACCCATGTTTTTGCTACAATTCCGTTAATAATATATACCCTGCACTTATCCCAGTACAATATATTCCATAAATTTATTCCTTTATTAGGTCAATGTTCAATCTCATCACCTTCCCACTCTAAATTAAATTTATATTTTTTGTGCCATGCCTTCATTACCCCCAGACACAACCGAACATCTTGTCATCTACTGTATCCACCTCCCATTCTTGATATTTCATAAGATTCTGTAATTTCATTAATTCCTGGTACTGTATACCTCAACATTCTTCAATTTACTTCGAGCATCACTTTTAACTTAATTTTTTTTATTTTTTGCTTTCAAACCATTTACTGTACCACAGAGCAACTACGTATATAGGATAATTCAGCTATGTACAGTACAGGTACAGTACTTTTTTACAACACGAGTTTTGTGAATCCTTTGGACGAGTCAAGTACTGTATTGTACTGTACCTTAATTAAGGAAAAAATATCATTGCTCTGGGAATACTGTATGCTGAAAATTGGAGATTAAGTTGCCAGTTTAAAAGTTAGAATAGTCGGAATGAATACATATGACAAATTCAAAAATATATATATTTATATACAACCATCAAACTTAACATACAGTACGTATCTACTTAAGAGCATTAATGAATTACTGTTCAGAAACTTAGCAGCATCAATAGTTAAGGAAAGAAACACAACTTATGAATTCTGAATATTATGTAATTTCTAACAAAATATCCACAGCAGTTACACATATCTGTATAGAGAATAACAATTTTATTGCAGGTACCGGACCATCCTTTTACAACTGTGTTATGTTGACTTTTGAAACTTTGTCTTACAACTACAGTACAGTATTGTGTTCAAACGATGTAAACTTAAAGAAAACCTCTTGCTACCTTTAATTACTATATACTGTACTAAGAAATAAATAAAGTAAATAAATAAAGTACCTGGTACAGTGTCAAGTGTATACAAGTATACTTATACATACATGTGTGTATGTTCATATTAAAATACAGTAATCCTTACCATTTATACAAATATTACCCTGCTGTCAATACAAAGTTCATTTAACAAAAGAGATTGATTCATTAGACTGATTTAACTGGTGGTTATACATGACCACCAGCCTCAACTTCACCACAAATAAAATACCTTGTACAACAATCTTGCTGCCAACTTAAATCTAAATTCAACATTATCACAGCACTTGGCAATTCTATTTATGGTTAGGAAAACATTTAACAGCAAACAGCATAGACAATATAAAACTTTAAAAAAAAAAGACAAAAAGCTCAAAATAAAGCCTTCACACAAATGATAAACCCATTACCAACAGTTTATATATATATATATATATATATATATATATATATATATATATATATATAAATTAAATCCGCTGAAAAAAAATTATCAGCATTGTATGAAAAATAATGTATAGTAATATAAAAATTCTCCAGATTACTTTATGACAGATGTATCTAGCCCAGGACTGGTTCCTTGATACCATACATTTGGATCCATCAATAAAGGAATAGCTATACAAATCAACAAATATTGAGTTTTTAAGAATATGGGCACATCAAAAAGACATGATGTCAGAGACATTACATGATGAATTCATGCAGTCTACAGCTCCCAAAGAGAAATTACTGTACATATGTTTATCCGTTGCACAAACCCTTGATGCTCCTAAGGTATGGGACCAGAACCATTCACTACCATAGTTTAGACACCAACGTGTATAAAAAAAAGTTTTATTGTTTATAGATGAAAATATGACTCATTAAAAGAGGAATTCAAATGAACAATCCATACAACCAGAGTGTGTATCGTGATTCATCTTCAACTATGACTACACAAGTATGAACATTTAAGGTATTGTGGACAACATGAAAAATCTGGACAGGATATTCAGATCTAACTATAATATGACAAAATATTAGTTCCTGCTAAAGCCCACACAACAATACTCTTGTCTTCTTGGGTTAAAATACAAGACCAAATACTGTACAGTACAGTAATGTGCATGGACTGATATTACAGCTATGACCTTTGTAACTATGACCAAGTATACATCAATAAGCTTACGTGTTTATATAAAGTTTCATTCCATTTTTCTTTCAAATTGTGCCATATGCTCTATGCACTATTAACTTCATTAACAAATATACTATTACAGTATAATACAGCATATTTAATTTCAGGAGATAGCATTATTATTATTAAAAATTTATATATACGTATTATATATATATATATATATATATATATATATATATATATATATATATATATATATATATATATATATATATATATATATATATATATATATATATATATACGTATATATATATATATATATATATATATATATATATATATATATATATATATATATATATATATATATATATATATATATATATATATATATATGAGCAACAAAATGTGATGAATAAAAGTGGATCTAAGTACAGTAATGTAAACAGTTTAAGAAATTATGATAGGAGTTTTATCTTCAAGCATCACAAATACACGACATATCATTAACCTTTGACTATGCTATATGACAAAAACTTGGGAAGACAAGTGTTACAAAGTGATGAAAGTTTTAACTAAGGCACTATATATATCTTACTTCATAGTTCAAACTCAAAAACAGTAGCATTAAATTTGTCAAAATATTAGTTAAAAAAATTGAATGATACCATGAGAATATTCCTACAGAATTATGGTAGGGGCTACTACGGTGACTTAATATACTGTACTACAGTATGGTTCAACATATTGGTTGAACGATCTTTTCAAATATTCATTCACCCCTGTGCATTCCACATTTGCTTATAAATCTGAACTCATATTTAAGCTGATCACCTTGATTATATACAGTAGCAATTCAAATACAGTATCAAATGCAAATTTTTGTTCTTATGGAAAAATAAAATAACTGCATTTATGTATATACAGTATATATCTGTAGTGTACATGTCAAAATAAAATCCCAAATGTTGCCTCCTATTTACAATCTACAGTATTCAAAGTGGACAGCGATTTGGGCAAGGTGACAAATAGCGTCCAACCTTATTCTGGAGTTGTATAGAGAGAGCTATATCCACCTTTTTCTTCTTCCACTCGTCTGAGCCATCACAGCAGTCACACACGCCATCGTTAACCCATGATGAAGGAATTACTTTTGGAAAATTCTTTAAATGCTTTAAGCAAGAGAATTTTCCATTCACACAAGCATTTGTTCTTGGCTCGTCAGATCCATCTTCTGGACAGTCACAAAAGTCATCATTCAATTTTTCTAAGGGAATTACTTTCCCAGTGGTTACACACTTAAAGGTAGCCTTTTCCTTATCTTGGGAGGTTACTCGTACATCTGATTTCGAGATATCCTTACTTCCTTTGTCCTGTTTCACCACATCAACCTCAACCTTGTCTACTTTATGCACAGCCTTCACCTCTTCCTCGTGCAGTGTCTTGTCCTTCTTGCCATCACCGTTTACCAAATGTATATCTTTTGGGTGTGATCTGTCTTTATCTACCACTTTTTGTCTGTTTGAATCTTCAATTTCAATATGTCGCTTTGGAATATTTGGTTGATGCTGCTTGGGTTTGGAAGATTCACTCAATTCAGCAACGAAGGTAAATTGATACACTATGAAGAGAACAGTTGCCATGACCAGCGCCCCAATGACCGTGTGCCTCCTCATTGGCATAGATCTTAACAACCGACCGAGTGACATTTTTCCACTATTCAGGAAACACGGTATGGTCAATATAAGTTTAATATACCTCTAACAAGATATCAGGTTCATAGTGAGACAAATGGTCGTGCTAACAGGATGAACCTTTACCTTGCTCATACCGACAACCAGCTGATGTTTGTTTACCGTGTGACGTAACTATCAGAGACTGCGGACACAATACAATCATCTTTGGGTCAATTTAAATTTTAGTAAGTACCATCATTATCATCTATATTACTAAAACTGTAAACTGTATATTAATTAATGTTATTGGTTTAGTTTCTCAGCGAACGTCAGAAAGATAAAGTGACAGATAGACAGTGTAATATAAGTAAAGAAAAAGTAACAAACACTAAGCATTTCAAACCCAAAGGAAGTAACACTACCTTGTATTTATAGTGTCACCTACCTTGACAAGTATTGGCCTATGCATGATATAACTCTTGGATTAATGTATGGATGGAAGGATAGTTATATTTCATGAGTCCCACTGACACTGTGGTGGGCAATAATTCCCAACACATCAGTCCTCAAATTAGGTAGCAACAGTAAACTAATTAAAGAAATTAACCATTTACTAACACAAAGCAGGAAAACAACTTTAAAATTATAAAACAAGATAATCTTAACCTAATCCCTACCTAACGTTACTCTTGCACCTCAGTCTCCCCACAATATAAAAGGGGAATGAAGGACGTGACAGGAGCAACGAAAAATCTCACATAAATGATCTTGAATGAAATAAAACAATCACATTACAATATAGGTTACTTTACCACAAGGCCACCAGTGCTGCACTCGTTCGCCAATCCCATCATGAGGACGAAAGTAGGGACTTTTACGGTCTCAAGATGATCGTGAACGGACTGTGAGTTTGTGTGACAGTGTTGACACTGAACTGTAGTGTGGGGTGACTGGGGTCGCGCATTGCCTTACGAACCCTCGAATCTATGAAAATGGGAATCCGGTCAACCACCGCCAAGTAGTTCAGAACAGTGAAGCAGCAATTATGCATAACACAATATGACCTTCCTTTACTGAAACCATTGTTATTTTGGCTTTACAATAAATTTCCTGTACAATAAGCACTTCATTCCCTTACATACTGATAACCTATAATACTTTTTACTTTTATCCTTTCACCACTGATCGGCTCGTTAGCCATTGCATAGATATACTGTACACACCCTCCACTTTATTTGACCAAAACACATTCATCTGTTTATGTCTCAGTTTTAGTGCCAAGAGTAGAAAGGTCTAAAAAACAAAATGGATTCCATTCACTACTGTTTGTACAGTATGAGGCAGAGTTTAAATCAGGATGAGGGAAGAAACACGAAGCATTTATTTATTATCATTTCATCAATTATTAGCTTCCTCACCATTCAAGTGATTGATCTGTTATTTGGTATGACTTTCGTTATCACCTGAGTACAGGAAGAAGCTGGAATGAAATAAGTAAACATAATGGTTTAAAAAAACATTACTTTCGCCTATGGTCATAGTTTTTTATGAAAAAAAATAAAATATAGAAGAAAAAATCCCAACTCATAATTTTTTATTCGTAAACCGAATTATGGGAATTTTTTTCATAACTTTGGATTTTGGTTAACCAAACCTTTGTTAATTGGGGATTGCCTGCAGTGTTTTAGTTATTGTAATAGGGCAGTTGTGATGTAAATGTCAAAATTGTTTGTATAAAACATTTAAAATACAGAAGTTTCCAATACTGATATTGCTGTCAAGACACTGAAAAACCAATGGGGGGAAGACACCTAAGGATGCGACTGAAGGATGGGTGATAATCTGATCAGCCCCCAGCTATCAATGACAGGGATCTACTGCACCTGATTTCCCAATCTGGTATGCACCATAGAGTACAAGTACATATTATGAAAGCTGCTTGGCAGAAAGTGTTACATGAAATTAAAAGTTATTTTTGAAGTAGTAGTACTTAATTGTATTGTAATTTTTTTAATTCAAAATTGGAAACATCAGCAAAAACTAGGCACACTAAAGTACCTTACGCTTACCACCTCTAGATAAAAATATTTTTCTCACTACTCCAGCAATGTTTGGTACAGTACTGTAATACTAAATAAAACAAATGTATTGAGGTTCCTCCTTACATAAGTTGTGAACAATACATGTACAGTACAGGTTGACAACCCTTTATCCGAAATTCCGAAAACCGAAAGATTTTGTGGAGCATTTTTTTTTTTTTTTTTAAACAGGGATTAGCCCACCCTGGCATAGATCACTGACCCACATCGGGGCCTGGGGGGCGAAAATGTAATAGTAATACTAATTATAATAATAATAATAATTATAATAATAATAATAATTATAATAATTATAATGATTATAATAATAATAATTATAATAATAATAATTATTCATAGTAAATAAAAATTTTAATTAAAAAATACACCAAAATAAAATAATAATGATAACAATAACAATGTATTAATAAAATAATAATAATAATAATAAAGAAATACAAGAATGAAAAAAAAGATAAAAAGTGAGTAACACGACCTAGACCTGTGAATTATTATTATTATTATTATTATTATTATATTTTCGCCCCCCAGGCCCCAAGCCGGATGGGCTAATAAAAAAAAAAAAAAAAACTAACCATTCTGAAAACCGAAAAATTCCGAAATCCGAAATGCCTCTGGTCCCAACGATTTCGGATAAGGGATTGTCAACCTGTATTTAAAAATTTAAGGAAGGCAGTAAATTAGGTTAGGTGAACTATGAAAAGATATTCGAGGAAGAGCGGGGGGGAAGGATACGTTTTGACAGTAAAGATGTGTTTTTTGTTAACCTTAGTATTTCATTGTCATTGGCCGGTAAGATATTTCATCCCCCGTAATCATTATACAATACTTTGAGGATGATATCTAGAAAGATCCTCTGAAGGTGAAGGGGTGATGTCAAAATAAACAAAAGAATAACTGTAATACATATAATTATTATACAATAATAGGTCCATTATAAAGAAAATTGACATTGATACCTGTATACAGTACTGTAATTCCACTTACAAAATTCACTGTCAAGTATTAACCTAAATTTATTATAAACCGAGACATTTTTTGCCTGATGTAGGGAAAGATGTAAAAGGCACTCTAGATACTTTATTAATAACTTGTAACAACATTGAAAAAGTGATACACTTCATCCTTATCATACACTGCAACCTTTGTATTACAAATCTTACATGTAACAGGGTGATATGTTTCATCATCATCTTTAACATTTGCAAAGGAAACTTTTTTGTGGGAAGAGGAAGAAGGTTCAGCTACAGCATCTGAACCTGCAGCAACTGTGGCTGATAAAGATGCAGTTTCTTGAAGTTCCATGTCAGTCTCTTTCTGACCCTGTTGGAGGGTGGCACTGTTGCCTGGCTGCATCTGTGGTATCACACTGCTGGCCACTTTTTTGTGGGAAGAGGAAGAAGGTTCAGCTACAGCATCTGAACCTGCAGCAACTGTGGCTGATGAAGATGCAGTTTCTTGAAGTTCCATGTCAGTCTCTTTCTGACCCTGTTGGAGGGTGGCACTGTTACCTTGCTGCATCTGTGGTACTGCACTGCTGGCCTGTGACTTCTGTACATCCTCTTCAGCCTCTTGGTTAAGGCTTTGTTTATCTTTGTTTTTCCTTTTGTTTCTAAAGAAATCCCGTTTTTTTTGCCCTTTGCTTGGGAACTTGAGTCTCTCCATCGAGTCAACATTGCAATTAAAGACGAACATCGCTCGATACTGATTGTGATAGATTGCGTGTCTGAAAAATTTTAATATTGCCGCATTTAGTTTGTGTTTAGCTGCATATCTGATCCCACACACACCTGACACAACAACACTCTTAACATCACCTTAATAATTATTAAAAATGGCTTAACCATAAATCAAATCGAGGAAATATCAGATGCTTGCACTAGTGAATAATAGAATGAAACAAGATCTGGCATATCCTTTAAGTTTACAAGCTATCCAGTTCTGAATCTGGGAAAAGATGACATGATATACAAATATGTTTTAGAATAAGGGAAATGATTTAAGTATCAGTAACAAAATATAACCCCACTTGTAAGGAATTAAACAGTTTTACTGAAAGTGTATTTTTCTGGAATGAAACTACAGTACAGTAATTAACTTGTAGATTTGAACTTGATATCCCAAAGTTTCAGAATTGGCTGCTACACACACACATATCCTGCCATTCAAACACAAGCTCTGATGTGGCAACTTCTGTTGTTCACTGTTCCAATTTTGTGCTAATAATTGCACCAGTTTATTATCCATATCCCCAAAAACATTGCCCAATGCAATGAAAAAATGAATTTCACCAACAATAGATAAGAAAGTAGAAATTTTAAGTTGCCTTGTCACAAGTAAAAAAGTAAACATGATCATCAAAGAAAATGGATCTAGAACCAATACTTTGTGTGACACAGAGGCAAAGAAAGAACATGATGAATCTCCACACTGAAAATGAATCAAACAGAGGCGTTCTTTGTATTTCATCAATAAACGTGTGTACTGTATACAGTACTATACACAATATATATGAACACTTTCATGATCTGTGGAATTTATCTATCATAATTAATCATATCATAATTTGCTAACAAAGGGAAAAAAGACAAGCCTGTACATTTTCTCCTTATTAGTATTCACAGACCTGTGTACTGTACTGTATTTCAATATAATTCTAAGGATAAACTAATCAATCTCTGTTTTTCAAAATATTTGTCTTCATCTATTTTACTGTAATACTGTACAATGGCACACAAGCTAGATCATCTGTATATCCTACTAGTCATAATACAGGTTGACAACCCTTTATCCGAAATTCCGAAAACCGAAAAGCTCTGAAAACCGAAAGTGGTTTTTTTTTTTTTTATATAACAGGGATTAGCCCATCGGGGCCTGGGGGCGAAAATGTAATGGTAATAATAATTATAATAATAATTATTCATTGTAAATAAAAAATTTAATACAAAATACACCCAAATAAAATAATAATGATAACAATAAAAATAATAATATAATAATAAAATTAATAATAATAACAATAATACTGTAATAATAAAATAATAATAATTAAGAAATACAAGAATGAAAAAAAGATAAAAAGTGAGAAACACGACCTAGACCTAAGAATTATTATTATTATTATTATTATTATTATTATTATTACTGTATTGTTGTTATTATAATTATTATATTTTCGCCCCCAGGCCCAAATGTGGATCAGTGACTTGTGCCCAGGTGGGCTAATACACACATAAAAAAAAAAACTAACCATTCTGTAAACCGAAAAATTCCGAATTCCGAAATGCCTCTGGCCCCAAGGATTTCGGATAAGGGATTGTCAACCTGTATCAGACAGGTTAACAAGGCAATTACTTCATTCTCTTTGCAAGAAAAACAGAGTTAAAGTTAAATCATAAATACTTATGTTCTACTAACTAGATTGTCCTAGGGGCTACATTACCTCTGACAGTCCATGCAGAGTGTAGTGAGACATGCTGGGCAGTTGAGCACAGCATCACTCTGGGGCAATGCCTGAGGCTGGCCACGTGTACTGACTCCACTCTTGGTTCTGCAAATATCACTGAGTAATATAACTTTTAACCCTGTGCATTTTATTATAAAGGCTGACCCTGTCTTATCTGCCAACCTCGGGGCCAGGGCTGTGCTGGATGATAGAAATTTACTTTAAATAGAAGGTTAATACAATTAATTGTACATTAACTAAGCCACATTTAGCCTAGTGCCCATAATGTTATGGATTTCTTTGTATACAAATTTGGCACCCATTATAATGAATAAATCTAATAAATCAATAACTAATGTGATGGTTATATGTATTTGATAAATGTATGTACTGTATAATAAATGAAACATGTAGATTTCACACATTCCAGGCCACACTCAGTCATAGCTGGTCACTTGTAATCATAATACTCATGATCCAATGTCCTCAAGCAATTTCTTTATTCTTGCAGCCATGCCCCCCAAACAAATTTTGTTGTACAGAAACATTTGAAGATTAATGTAATATACAGTACTGTATGAAGGAAAGGTGTAAGCATTTTCTCCATCTAATGGCCATTCATTAACTGACCACCCACCACCACAATCATCCCACATGAGTTAGCCAACACATCCATCTACACCCATTATTACAATGTTTATGGTGTTAAAACAAAAAGTATGATTTGAAAAGCTTGTGCATTGTATTCTCCCTCTCAGGGCAATCATCAACTGTTATTTCTTACCCTTTCATGTTGTTTAATAATATTTAATTTCACTTCTAATGACACTCACTGTTTCTTGATAAAGGTGTGCTTGGTTTAGTACTGGGAGGTCAGTTTTGTATTCATTATGAACAATTTGGGATGGTTTCTAAAGAAATAGTTGTGTAGTACATCAGAAAACAACTCTTGCTACAAATGTCTCTATGTACTGTATCTACAGTACAAGGATTTAGTCGAGCACAGGTGATTTAAAGTTTTATTTCACATATCTTAAAATATGAAAAAAACATTTATACTGTACAGTACTTGTATTTCTTAGGGAACCTTCAATATTTCACTAAACAACCATAATACCTGTATATGAAGACAACTTTATGTAAAAAATCAAGAAGTTTGCCTTCTGTTATTTAAGATTTGACGCTGTAAATGAATTAACATAATACATTTTGTATACCTGTACTGTACTTTATGGCATATAAGACACACTTTTTTGGGCTAAAAAATGGCAAAAAAAAATTAGCCGGCTTACTTAAATATAAAAGCTGGATTTATAACTACTGATGATGATAACCTGAGATAATTAGTGTCCGTACAACAGGCAGTTTCTGAGCTCTTACAAGCATTACTATCTACTGCAGAGTCCTGTACTGTATTAATGTTATTCCTGCAACATTTATCTTTACATCTAAAAATACCTGATATAAATGAAGATTTACAGATACTGTACTTTTCTTTTCACATTTGAATCTATGAACATCGCTGGCAGCTTTGCTGCCAAGTTTTTCTGGCTAAATAAACTGTTTCAATTAAATTAAATTCAATTCAATCACTGTAGCCACCAGGCCAAGCTTTGAGGTTTGATACCTGGTCAAGGTGAAACTATGGACAACTTTCTTCATGCCATTTGCCTGTCTATCCAGCAGTAATTGGGAACCTGGATGTTAATCGATTTGCGGATCGTGTTCCGGGGTAATGGTTAGCCAGTGCAGTTAGTGAGTTGCCCGGTTTTCTCAGACTATTCCTTGACACTGGATCATGATAACTCATTAACTTAAGGTGTGGTTGTGTTGGCGACAGCTGATACACCTTAAACAAATTCACGCCCAGGTGGCCCTGGGACCTGCCATCCTTGTCACACGAGGGGCAACCATTATATTATATATTTAAATTTGTGATTTCAGGTAGATACACGTGATTTTCTTCAATTTTGTTTTTGTTACATGCATACTCAATCTTACATACAGAATTTGAAAGAAAAAAATAATACTGCAATAAATAATTATCATAAGGTCAAAAACATGAAAGGGAAAAACTTTCTTCGTGTGTTAAGAGTTCTTGTTAAGCAGGGGAAAGGGAATGAGGGATCTCAGCTGTCTTTCATGTGTAGTGAAACAACTGACAAATTTTGCTGCCCAGCAACCACATGACAATACAGTAGTTTTTGTTGTAATTTATTTATTAGTATTATTTAACTTTTCTCACATTTACTGGTGTATATTATTTGAAGAAAACTATGAATAAAGGAGGAAAATACACACAAAAGTTTTTTCCTTTATATTCCCAACTGAAATTGGGGTATGTCTTAAATGCTGTAAAATTTGGTAACTATTATTTTGCTGTCAGTGTGTTTCATTTATAAGACATTATACTGTATACTGTGAATTAAGGGTAAAATAATAATTAAATACCTATAAACACAGAACCAGAAGCAGGACCATGTTAGACCCAACTGAGACATGTTTTTAATTCCCAAGTTGGATGTGAGAAGGGTACTGTCTACTGTTACCCTATAAAACTTTTAATTTTTTCTCCAAGAACTCTGGTTTCTTCCTGTACTAACGCTGGACAATGACGGTTATAACAAAGAACAGACTGGCCACATGAATGACTAGTAAGCTGACATGTGATGGAAATAATAATCTATAAAATAAATGACCATCTGTCAACTATCATACAAAACTGTTGTCATATCTGGCCCCACTATGTTACAGCTGTAAGATGTCACCTATATGGGCATCTTTATGAAACATTTTAAGTGTGTTTTCATATTTTTATGGAAAATAATGTACTGCACCCTGTAAATCTATTTTGTTTGGAGAACAAGATAATAAATGTTACTTGTATATAGGAGTCGACACATTCTTTTCAGATCCAGGATCAACCCTCTGATAGTGTCCTAATAAACTTCAGTCTTTATTTGAATTTTTTTTCATTGGTATTTATGACTATTTTTTGTTTTATGGGCTGATTATTCCTTGACTGCCACTAAATAATAGTGGAACTGTGTCTGTGGTCAACTGGACAACACATGATGGTTGAGCATGCTGTTAATTGAGAGGTTTGCTAAATAGTGTTTTTCCTATAACAGTGCCGGTAATTGGGAGTTGCTGGTCAGTGGAATGCCAGATAAGTGAGGGCCAATCTGTACAGTAGTTTTAAACCCAAAATAATGTTATAATACCCATAGTCTTACTAAAAAAAAAATACAGGACTGTATACCTGTACTGTGTTATGAAAGGTAATCATATGACTTTCAAAAGTTAGAAGGTGACATCCTTGCAGTACTGTACAACTTTTATATACCAGCTCTCCTGTGACCCATGACTCTACTACAGAAATGGCATATCATTTCAGTATTTTTTAATTTCCATATACAATACTGTACTGTACTATGGTGCATAAAATGGATACTGAACATTTAGTTACCATATGATATGATACTTTAACCCTTAAACAACAGCCATCATCAGTGAAAGTTAGCTGCAAGGACAGTTGCTATTACCAGTGGAAGATAGCTGTAGGGATGATGGCCACCATCAGTGAATGTTTCACATTACCGTACTAAACGTGTATTCCATTTTTGCACACATAATAGAGGAGTAGGGAATCCTTCGCTGCTAGTTAAGGATATTTAGAGAACATGGCAAAGACACTCCTGCTTTTTAATCTAGAAGTAACTTTTTATCTATTGAGGGAAATAAAGATATACATACAGTACTGTACAATATAAATATAAAAAGAAACATACGGAGACAATGAACATAAAAGAACACCCCCCACAGTGTCAAGAAAGAGTTTTACCTTCTCTTTTTTGGTTGATATGATCTTCTCATTTCGTCTACCCACTCCTGGTCTTTTTCATCTAGTGTTGGGTCATAAAAAAGCTCATCATTGGACAGAATGCGTCGCTTTTCCTTCTTGGTTTTGGGAACTCTGCTTGTAGTTTCAGCAGCTGGCGTTTATAAAAAAGATCTATTTAAGTAATGTGCAAATTAGTGAGGCTATAACATAAGACAAGGTGTCACCACTTGGTTGTAATCCGAGGCAACAATGTGTGGAGAATAAATGTAGTTTTGCAGACCAATTCTAGTGAGAGATTAGAAAGTAGGACATGAGAAGAAAGACGAAGCAAGAGAGAAAAGGGAATAATTCCATGCTCACTGAATTGAAAATATGAAAATACAGAGCTAAAGTAGATGTGTAAATGTGGATAATACAGTAATAAGAACCATCAATAGGAGATGGGGCACGGGGCATCTCACTTTACTTCTTCCACAGTGACTGAGGCCAACTGTTTAAGTATCTAAAGAGAAGTGAGACTATTAGACTAAATTTGTTATCATTAAATGCACCCAGTCATGTGAGTGTACAGTAGCCTTGACCAATAAAAAAAAAGTAATAACAGCAATTCAAAAACAAATTCGAAGACAACCAATAAAACTTCTGCCGCCCAACTCTACAGTATGCTTTATAGCCTGTATAAGTCACACAACACATGGGCAGAAGAACGACAACTACAAACTCACAGGTCTTGGCTCTTGGTAACTAGCTCATTAGTGCTACCCATTTTTATTGGGGGTGGGGTTGACCTGGGTTTCATTGGATTAGTGTGGTGTAACCTTGGGGTGTCTGCCTGCAAGCTTACTGAAGTACTGTACTGTAGTAAATTATTTGCCTGAGCCACTGCATCAGTTACAAAATTCTTGACTTTATAAACATAAATACTGTACTATACAGCACTTACCCTCAATGTCAGAATCATCAGAGTCGAAATATATATCATCATAAAATTCAGATTTCTCTTCTGGAAGCTTCTTGCCCGAATCTTCAGTCTTTGGCCCCTTGCTGCCTCCTACCTCACTGGTACTGCTCTGTGGGTTGTTATTCTTGAGGCGCGAAGCAAGACGCTGCATGGTCTGAGACAGTTCTGAAGCCATTTCTTTCTCAAAGTCATCCTCTTCATCTTTCTTAATGACTAATAAAGGAAATAAAAAGATTTATCTCAGTGAAATACAAATCATTAATACAGTGAGGAACTGTGAAATCATCGTACAGTACTTCACTTTAATATACCGGGTATCTTTTTTTTTAAAAATAAGTACTGGGAGTCTTCGTTATAGAATATACAGTAGTATGTTCAGGACATACAAATTCACCTCTACGTGAGGACACCATTTCTACTAATTCAACACCTGCGAGAAAACATTGGCTGTATGTGGTCAAGCACTTAAGAATATGTTCCTAGTCAGCCACACCGCACCTTCCACCACCAAAGCGTCTCAGCTGCTACTCAACTGATGGGAGCGAGTGCATCTATAGTGAACTGTACATTAGTGTGCCCTTTATAATTTGTTAAAATTTATTGTTGCACACTAGTCTATATACTGTATTGGTAACTGGAGTGTACAGTATTGTTCGTTTTAGACATGTAGTGTAGAGCAACACATGGCTTACATAAGGTACAGACACTAATATTTCCTACAAGCAAAATGTATTTATATATTTCATACATTACTATTTCCAATACACTACATATTGGTAACTGCAGTGTTGTTTGTTTTACACACATAGGGTCACAGTATTAAACACCCCTCTCTGTTGACGGAGGTCTTTGTGTCGGCACCCATGGTAGTGAAAATTTCAGTTGCGAAAGATACCACAGTGCCACACTACAGTGCTTGATGGGGAGGTGCAGCAGTAAAGTAAACTAATAGTATTGGAGTTCGTAGGGGTGGCAAAATTTGGTAGCTTTCCTGTCACCCAATCGTAATATTTTTACTTGTCTAACTGGATCTTTATAATGAATACAATTAATTGAGAAAAACAGATTAGTAATTTTATAAACCTGATTTTTTCTTTCTTGTTACATTACTGCTTTTATGGTCAACAATATAAACTTTTTAAGAGATTCTGTCATGTCTACTGCCAAGGACATGCCCAATCAGCTACTGGAGACATCTCATTTTACAAATGCTGTTAGTACTAATCAGGTAAGGACATTTAAGAAAACTTATTCAACTACAGGTATTTAGTTGTTTTGTAAGTGAGTTTTCATCTGAACAGCATAAATCGGTGAGTTTCTGGGCTAGAATTCTTGAAATGAACGGAGCCAAAATCCACTGGGAATACTGTACATCATCACCAAACTTTTTGTGATCTTCATTAATAAAATAAACACATTTAAAATTATCTAATAAATTATTTAGCTGTTTTGTGAGTGAGTTGTCCTTAAAATTGATCGACCAGAAGTAACAAGCTAGCCTACCAGAAAATACATTGGAATGTACAGTACAGTATTACAATCCAATCAAACCTTAACCCCTGTTACCTAACATGCACATAACCAATTTGGCATTAACACCCATTTTTACCTTTACCTACCATTTTTTTTATCCTGGATATTTATTTTTTCATTCAAGTATTTTTTTTTATAAATTATGCAGTAGTTCTCTTCAGCCAAATGACAATGATACAAAGAGCGTCACTCATAATGCATCAGTAAAGGGGGCCAGGCTTGCCAACCCTACCCTCGATGAGCCCTGCATGTTAGGGAAGGGTTGAGTGGGTTTGCTACTACCCTTTGAAAGAATGACTCCTCATGGAAGAGGAAAGAGTTGTTTGCCACTACAGGCGACAGTGTACAGCACATCAGCCTTCCCCTATTCATACCAAGAGTAATTAAAACTAATTTTTTTCCATATGTCAGGTAAATTTACCTTTATTTGTGCAATACGTATACCTAACTGGGGAAAACAGGTTCTGGAGCGTCAACCCATTTCTTACATAAAAACTGCTATTCCTTTTGCATCATGCACACTTTTACGGAGTGCAACACTTATACGTATATATAATGAAGATTCCCAGTGGTCTCTTAATAATTAAGGATATACTGCATAAACATTGTTCCTGGGGATGTCCAAAACTCACCCAGCTTTGATGATTTCCTCGACTTGGGAATTACAAAGAATTTATCGTCCTCTTCATCAGAACTGAAAAATAAATATTTATTTAAGTTTAATCGTTCTTATTCACTTCAGTACAAATGTTTTGTTCAACCTATACTCACTGGTCTTCCTGTAATGCAAAAATAAAAATAAACAAGTAGGAACAGCCCCATTAAACTTCACTTTTCCAATTTTTGTGGATACATTTCTTACTTGTGGAAGTCTTATGAAGTTTCACACCAAATTCATTGATAGTTAAAATCAATATACTGTACTGTACTTTGAAGACAATACTGATACCTGTATTACTTTGGAGGCAGTATTAACCTCCTCACTGTGGGGACGCCACTTTTAAAATTTTATTTGGCTACCACTAAATAATTTTTCTCAACACAGAGACCCCTGTACACAAAGGGTTAATAACATATGACTACTAACCCCTTCACTACAAGACACCTTAACCCTACAGTCTCCCTACAGCCCAGGGAGCCATGGGGGTGAGACAGTCATTGTGTGGTGTTAAAGTTAGTGGGTGTAATCTCATCCCTACTCCCACCCTAGAGTACTGTACACTACAGGTGGACAAATGAAAAGGCCAATAACTGAAAGTATGTACAGGTACTATAACAGCATGTTATGTGACATGTGCAGAAGGTTTCAGGATAATAATCACTGGTACTATACTGTACAGTGCTCCACAAAGGTAACTACATTTAAGATGTGTTTATTAAATAAAATTGTCTCTTTCTTCACATCATTCCACCAATATAGTACAGTACATATACATAGGAAACTTCTATGTATGATATTGGATCACCCATAACATTTACACGTAGTAATATAATTCAATATATTGCAATACTGTACCTGGTGCTATTAGAGAAAAAAAATCATAGGAATAAACTTAGTTTACCATATTTTATGGCATATAAGATGCACTTAAAAAAAAGGGGGCTAAAAAAATCAGCCTTCAACCTAAAGTTGTAGGTCTCTCATTGGCTAATGAATCCCATAACCCCCAGATACTGTCTCTAGTAGACTAAATTTACCTAGACCAACCCCAGAATTAAATTTTTATGATTATTATTACCTTATATTACTTTTAACTAATTAGAAAAGGAATTATTGTAAAAAATAAAGCTGAGTAACCCAAGATGATTATCACTCATATGGCACCAAACTCTTCAGAGCTAATCAGTGACCGTTTCTGAACTCTTACAAACATTACTGTCTATTAATGTCATACCTGCCACATTTATCTTATTATGGCCATCTTGGTACAAAGAGTAACGATCATAACAATGACAACTTGTTACAGGGGGTCCTCGTTAGAAGTGGTTAATAGAGTCCAGAAAAAATCCACTGATAATGAACCACTTATAATGGGGAATTAATTCTCATAATTAATAAATAGAGGATCTAATCAGGACCATCACACTGTAAGTGACTCAAAGTTTAATTGATATTTTGAACATTTATATACAGTACTATATACCTTAGAAACATTTGTTAAACATTTGATAATACATTATTTTATGAAATTATTTAACTTTATAACTTATTTAAGGTACAGAACTTAAAGTCATTTGGGGTCGGTGTGTTGATGCGGCGCAAGTTGCCTTACCATGCACTCACTCGCTTATTTCAGTGAAAGTGGTTCATTGACACACGCTCACCAAGGGTGGATCCAGGAAAAGATACAAAACCATTTAACTATTAGGTTTGTGTCCAGGGCAAATGACAGACAGTTTGTCCAGAGGGACATATGATAGTAGTGTACTTTGAGTCTGTCATTTGTCTATAAACAACATATCGTGGCTGCCACTCATGAAGCTGCTGAGTGACTTTTTCTTACTTTTACTTTTATCCTCTGTCACTGATCGACTCGTTAGCCGCTTCAGTGGTCGGTCACGTCTCTGTTACGCACTGTTGGCAAGTACTGTACTGGGTATGCACTGGCAGCAGCGTTGTCTTTATTTATGGGAAAAACAAAGAACAAAACCCTGTGTAGGAAAAGTGCTATTCTTCTACCCAATTTAAGTTTGCCTTGAGGTAAGAAATAAGTTTTCTTCTATAGAGATATCTCATTAGGTGGCTGGATAACCCAAATTTTCTTCTATAAAATTTTTTCCAAGAGTTGCTCCTTCTCATGAATCCGTCACCTATACTATTACTATTTACTATGGAATCAATAATAGACTGGTATTATTGCATTTTCACATTCCACATTCCTACCACTAATCTATTATCATATTCTAATAAGACGTCTAATTATAAGATCATTTTTATCTATTACATTACCATCACAAATGTATAATAACGGAGATAGCATATCCAAATTTTTCTCTATTTTCTTCCATTAATCTTCCGCCATTATCACCTACCTCACCTCCCACACTGCGTGTCTCCTTCATAAATCATCACGCGCATGCTTTCCCATACACGTCACACGACCAATCAAAAGCGTTTTTTTTTTGCAACCAATTAAAATGATTTTGGTTTAATTCACGGTATTTTTGGCCCAATCAAAATCGATTTTTATTTTGGGTCTCATATTTCCAAATTCATATTCATTTCCAACAGTAGAAGTCTGTGATGGGTGTCACTTAAATTATATGGAGCTGATTGCGAGTTTTTGTAAAAAAAAATGAAGAAACTATCGCATTTTTTCGATCGCATGGTGTTCTTCCAACCTCAGTAAAGTGTCCTAAGTGCAAGACTGAATGTAAATATCGCAAAGACCAACATATGTGGCGTTGTGTAAGAATCTCAGAATCCAACACGAACAAGAACCAGGACAGTAAGGTAAGAAATAGAGAGTCAGTTAGGTTAGGTTAGGTTTTGGTTTTTCTAGTGTTTTTTGGTGTATTTTTTATTCGCTTAGCCATTATTTTTTTTCGAAAAGTCCCACGAAAAAAATGGATAAAAAAAAGCCAATTTCCAACGGAAATGAAGGTTATATTCGGTCTAAACACACAAATACACTAGAAAAATATATTTTTGACTTCTAACAGAGTGGGAGGTGACAGTGCAAATTTACCTAGACTATAACCTTCAGGAACACTAAAAAGTTATCCCTGAGGTACATCAGAATTTAGCTGTCATGAACCACCAAGTGATATACTGTATGCTCAAGTTTGACAAGAAAAAAAATCATTCAAAAATAAATCTTTACCATGGATGAGAGGAGTAGTTCCATTAATTGTATAGAAAAAAAACATCTGTAAAGGTAATTTCAATTGAACTTAAGAAATAAGCATGAAAATGTTGGTAATATTATAGTTTCAGTCATCTCTGTATTTAGATATCCAAACTAATCTAACCGAACTGGTATTATTATTGTTTCGGTCATCCAGCGAATTTTAGTAGGTTAGGTTAGGTTAGGTTAGGTTAGGTTAGGTTTGGTTTGGTTGCATTTAAGAAAGCTGTGACCAATTTCTACTGGGTAGGTTAGGTCAGGTTCCAAATAGGTGGTCGACCGAAACGATAATTTTGCCACCTAACCAAACTTAATGTAATGTAACCTAACCTAACCTAACCGGCCCCCAAGACCCCCCCCTCTAAGATTCCCCGGATGACAGAAAACTAAAATAATACCAAATGTTATCTTACCCTTCACAGGATATCAATTATATCTCAACCCAAAACATAGGTACTGTACTCACCTGATGTACTTGGAGCTACACATGATATCATCATCATCACTCAAGTCAAAATAATCATAATCAGCATCAACTCTCCTACCAAACACTGATACATCCATGTTAACTAATGTCAAGCAGCTTCTTCCCAGTAATATTCCTTTGGCTTCTTCCTTGGTTATAAAATCCACTTCAACATTTGTTTTGGGTAATGACGTCACACCCTCACTCAATAACGTCATAGGTGTAAACAAACAAATGAGTGCTTCCGTTTGTCAACTTCTGGTGTATAGATAGACATTAGGATATATTTTTATTATGTAAACTCGGGTTGAGTTGTCAATATTACCTAGTAATCAATTAATACTAAAATTTAACAATAAAATGACAGGTATTGATAATTTTATATTATAGTGGTAACACAGGTACCTCAGACCATTATGCCCTGGGTTCGAGTCCGGCACTTACTGCACGGTGCACGGCACAAATTTAAGACGGGTGTTATTCAGTGTGACTACCAATTACAACAGGTTTCCTCCAAGTACTCCGGTTTCCTCCTGTACTAACACTGGGAAACAGAGTTAATAACAAATTAATGAAGAACACATTAGCCGCTCAAACGGTTAGTAAGCTGGTTTGGTGAAATTATAAAAAATTTAATAAAAAATAATACAGCCTGCATCCTCTTCTGTAGCCTTCATTACATTATTATTGGTAGTAGTAGTAGTAGTACCGTTATTGTAGTTATCAACCCACTCCGTTGCTGATAATGAGATGTAGAATAACTCGGCCACGTCTGCACCAAATCTGACCAAACATCATTTTTACTTTTATCCTCTTCACCACTGACGAGCTCGATAGCTGCTTGGGCAGTCGGTCAGTCGGCCACGTCTCTGTTACGCACTGTTGGCAAGTACTGGGCACGCACTGGCTCCTCAATGTATTTGAACCTGCTCCAGTACTGGTTAAGTCTAGTCTTGAAACAGCTCACACTCGGTGCCGTCACAACACTCTCTGGCAGGTTGTTCCACGAGTTCACAACTCTCCGAAAAATTTCGCCCTCACAGTTTTCTGGACTTAAACTTCTTCAACCTTGAGCTGTGACCCCTTGTTGGGAGGGCGTCCTCCAGCTCCAGATATGGACACTCGACTGAGTAGTGCCCTTTGAGATGTTTACATATATCTTAATTAGGTCTCCCTTTGCCCGTCTGTAGTATAAGCTAGGCAGTCGCAGGCGTTCTACTCTCTCTGGAATCTGGATAGCTGAGGTCAGGGTCAAAGGTCCAGGTTACGGTCATCGAAAATAGAAGGATGGGATTTGTTGTATTGTATCCCTCGACGAAAACATCAAAAGAATCATTGGTTTTCCGACAAAAATTACATGGATGTCTTTAAAAAAAAATACAAATTCACATATATGACAACATGTCTTCCTCAAATCGTTATAACCAGACACTGCCAAATAAAAACTCTTCAAATTTATTATGGAGACTCTGTAGGACTTTCACCGTCTCATAAAACAATGATGAGAGACATCAGTGAAATGGTGTCCCGTTCTTGTGGCAGTAGCGCGAAGAAGAAGAAGGTCAGTAGACAGGACACACACTACCAGGCTCTTAAACTAGGACTACTGGATCCCGTGAAGATTAGACACCCTTGTTTATTTAGCTAACCCAAACCCCCGAGGTAGCGTTAGGGTGTTTAATGACCAAGTCCCAGGTTGCTGATCTGACTTTCTGCCTCATTTATACACAATTGCTGGGTCTCAATTGTTTCTCTTTCTTTGACAACTTAACATACATATATTGTTTCTCACTATTGATCTTTTAATTGAGCTGGGTAATGTTGTTTCTGCACTTCCCTGGTGGGTCGTCCGTGTCAGCTCTGGATAATGAGAGTGAAGATTACGCTGTTCGGTGACTTATGTTGGCCCTCACAGTAACGTAGACCGTGTGTTGGTTACTGAACAATCTAATTATCGTCATTGAGTTTGTTAGTTAAACTTTTTACGTTTTTCTGTATTGGGCAAAACAATTCGTCTCCCTACCGTGTACCTGGTGATGAGGACACTGTTGAACTCACCCACAACCTGGCCAACTCTCTCATGCCTGACCAAGTTGATATACTGAGAGAGGGAGATTTGTAGTCGTTATCACCAGGAGACATCGATCAACAGCAGCGTCCAAACACGATACAGTAGGATAACAAATATATATATCTCTGTGCTAGTTAACTTAATTGGATGCGATAAGAAAGCCAAATATTTCTAGGAAAATAATGTCAATCCTCAGCGGAGTAATAAACGGGCTGAATGCTGACTTCACTCGTGTCTGACAATTTTCCAGATGTGACAACGCCCAACACCAACCAGATATTTCGATTTTGTTGGTGTGAAATTCTGTTCTGGTCAGCCTTTATGATACGTCTCAGAATGAATCATAATCACCTTCATCCTAGTCGTGTTTTTATCTCAATCTGTCGCTGAAAAATATATACAATATTTTGAAGACTGGTTCAGCATTAAGGGTGATTATGGAGCAGTTGGTATGTACTACTAATACTACTACTACTACTAATAATAATAATAATAATAATAATTATAATAATAATAATAATAATAATAATAATAATAATAATTAACGGTTTATTGAGAACATGGCAGCTAAACGGTTGAGAATATTATACAATAGATGATATTGTGAGAATGGGGAGTGGGTCACTTGACTGTCAAAACTTCCTGTACAAAAAGAGAAGTAACATGGAGTGAACATACAAATTAACTACAGATATGGAAGTAATCTTGTTGGTCGCCGGGCAGTCTGTCATATACTGTACACAGTCCCCCGTTTACAGGGACTTATCATATAAACATTCCTCATATCATTATCTTTGAGATATTTGCTTTAATATTGTTTTAAATTGATTCTATTTTATGTTAAGTATTGCGAATTTTCTTCTGTCGAATGTCTACAAACACAGGGTTGCCACATTGCACAAAACCTGACGAGCCCCTGTAAACGCATTAGTGCAGGGGACTTTACACTGTGGCGAGTTGATAGTGGTGACGTCACACGGTACAGGGTTCACGACACTTCAAATTCTGACTCACGGTGGTGTGTTTTCTAGGTTGGGGAAATGTTGCGTTTGACTCAAAAGTTATTATAACTGATGGTTTGATGTGTTAGTTGTATAGTTGTTATCAAATAATTCATTTAATACAAATTTAACAAAGCTGATATACTATATAGGTACACACATATATGACTTACAATAGATAAATTTCAGTACCATTAAAATACAACTACAAACTTGTATATAGGTATATCTCGGCTCCATAATTTTCTTAAAACCAATACATGCCCAGTACTTGCCACCAGTTTACTGAGGATACAGTGTAGTAAACATACAGACATGGGGCCGAAGCCAAGAACCAAAAAGTCTGGCTTCCAGAAGCCGAAGCCGGCTTCAGCCCCATGACACGTTAATGAGTAAATAGAAAACATGTTCTACCATGTTAACAATACAATACAGGTTCATATTGACATTACTAGTTCTTGTTGACAACTGTTGTCAATGTCTGAACTACCATAACTTACTCAACCCATACAATCTGTTGTTACTAAAGTTAAAGGAAAATATTTATATACTAAATTATTAGATTTCTTTTTCCATTTTATAATTATATATAAGGTGATATTTTTTATAATGTCTTAGTCTTATACATTACAAAGACGACTTCACTACCATGGCGACCTTCGCACAGCAGTATGTCTTGTACACTACCACACATCTGTCAGCGCCTGTACTGTATTAATGACACACAGTTGTCAACACCTGTTCTTCAATCAGTGGTGCATCAGAGGCGTAACCCAACACCCTTGAACTTTGTACCCTGAGTAAGGAGACATACATTTATGACTAGCTTGATATCTTCATACTACGCCTACAAATTTATTCTGATATCGCACTCGTAGCTGTAATCAACATCAGCTGATATTTATACAATAACAAATCTTGTGTTTACAAATTAGATATTATTAATACATGGTAATTATGTTTCTTCCAACTTAAGTTAACAATTATACACCTTGTTGGCTTTGTAAAATAGTAGTGATTTTCTGGCAGCAATCTTGTGTTCCAAATAAGTGACACAGGGGAGAGATGAAACCTCTACTGTCGTAATGTTTATACACCGAGGCGTCTCCTTGTCATTGTGATCTATTATATACACGCAGGTGACACACGTTCTCCAAGGGCTATTGTATTGTGTTGTGATATCACGTGATTACTTGTATGAAAATTTTGCCACTGTCATTATGTTCTGCCACACAACCCTTATTTACCAAAAGACTTTTAAAAGCATTGATCATTCTGAACAGAATATAAAGCTCACATTTATATATGATAACCTTTTAATCAGCTCTATTTATCTCTTGAACTTTATAACGAAAATGTGCCGTGTTGAAATGCTTCATCTTGATGAACACTGAAGAAAACTTGTATTGATGTTATAAGTTTCATCTTTGGATTAATTCATTCATCGTGGAATTAAGAAAGTTTGTCTTTTGGAATATGTCGAATCTTCAGTCTTACGATCATCAGTGTTCCGTCTTTTCACTATTTCGTTTTGGGAAGTCTTTAAGATTCTTGTAGAGGACAACATTTTGCGGAGGAGGTGAACGTTGGCCCTGCGGTACTCCTGGCTGACCGTCACATACACCACCGGGGAAACACAAAACTGGGCCGAGAAGATGACAAGAAAGATGATCCAGATTGTTGGTAATATCTTGTCCACTCGAAGTATAAGCATGATGAAGTATGGCACGTTACATACAGTGAAGATGACGAAGATGACGAGGATGGTGCGCGTGACGTGGTTTCTCCAGTGGTTTATGGCATCATTTTCCTGTACGCCATCCACGGTTTTGTGTCGGCGGGAACTTCCTCGTTTCAAGAGCTGGACCTTAAAAGAATTTTTTTTAATCATCTTTCCAACTTTTCACTGGTATAGATTAAGCATAATAGTAATATAGTGTCTTGCAACATATAGCTACCTTGATGTACATGAAGATGTAACAAGTACTGGTGATGAAGAGGGGAAGACCGTAGGCGATGCTGTCATGGATACGATCGTAGGTGTCAGAACTGAGGGACACCGACAGCTGCCTTCGGTCATACTTAAGATCACCGAACACCTGTGTGATAGTCCACGTTGATTAAAAACCTTATATATATATATATAAGGATCATCTGAAAATTAGCCCTAGCTTATTTCACCTAATTAATTAGACACCCTAACGTTACCTGGAGAATAGGTTAGATTATGTTAGGTTTGCGTTATATTAAATTAGATTAGATTAGGTTAGATTAGGTTAGGTTCGGTTAAGTAGGCCTAAGCATTAGTTTATGTCAGGTAAGCGTTATGTTTGGTTATATAACGGATTAAGTTAGGTTATTCTGGGTTAGGTTAGGTTGGATTAGATTAGTATTAGGGTGGTTAATCGTATGTTGATATAAGTTGGGGCTAACCATCAGTGGAAACGAATAAGATATCATTAGCCACTTAAGGATTAGATCTTACTCTGTACAAATGAAGGTTTATGTAAGATGTATCAGAGAAGAGAACACTGTTATAAAAATACAACTTTTACATACACCTGAGTATAGCGGCAGCCAGAGGAGCGAAGAGTAGAGCCAGATGACCACTAAGCATACAGCCACCCACCGCTTCTGCATCAGTCGCTTGTACGTGTGGGAGTGCATCATCGCTAGCGTCCTGGGATCATAGATGACGACTGATTTTTAGATTTTACTACAGTCTGGATGAGGACACTAACGCTGACAAGAGGCCATAAGAGATCTCTACTGCTTAACACAGGATAATTATTAAGTGTCATATTAGTGGCGGAAATATATCTGACATCACCAATTATCTTTTGCTCGAAACAATAATTACCAAAAACCTTACCTGTAGTGTATACCTTAACTGTTGCCATCTTTTCAAATCATTCGTTTTACATGTTTTCCTTCCTGCCATTGACGTCATCACCTGGGTAAGGGTGTTGACCTATTCGCACTGACGAATCAACAGAATGAATGCGACGGAGTCTTAACCCCCAAGGGCTTATCAGTGTTGGAGCTGTACATGAGCCACTATCAAAGAATTAACAACTTACCGCCGCTGTTAATGCGAGTGGTTACTTTAATATGATGTCGAGAACTAACTTTGATGATACAACTGTCAATAAGTGTACCTGATGATGGCGACAGCACAGATGGTGTGCAGATGAACTTGGATAAAGATCAAGTTCATCACACGGAGAATGATGATCATATTCTTCGGGAAGGATCCCTCGAGCAGCACCCTAATGCCGTACCAAGGCAGGCCGAGGGCGTTGACTGGCACGAGGCTTAAGAGGAGGTTCACCATGAAGGCCGTGGAGGGGTTCTGACGGAGGTTCTTGTCCAACAGTAGAGCGGCAGCAGCTATTACATTACCTGGGAGTGACGCGAAGCCTTAGAGAAATATAGCTTATAGTTTAGTGTAATTAGTATTGTTTAAGTGTTGAATCACAGAATCAGAGACAAACAGTCATATAAAAAAAAGAGAACTTAAGAGATACGCACATGCACAGACACACACACACACACACACATACAAACACCCATATATATATATATATATATATATATATATATATATATATGCACATGCATACATACTCACATAATAATAATGGATGCCCCTAGTGTGACGAGGATGGCCGACGTGATTTTTTTAAGGTGTAGAAACTGTCGCCAACACAACAACCACACCCTGAGTTAACGAACTGCATGACCCAGTGTCAAGGAATAGTCCGAGAAGACCGGACAACTCTCCAACTACACTGGCTAACCATTACCCCGGAATACCATCCGCAAATCGATTAACATCCAGGTTCCCAATTACTACTGGGTAGACAGAGGCAAATGGCGTAAAGAAAATTGCCCATAGTTTTACCCTGCCCGGGGATCAAACCCGGGTCCTCTCGCTTGCGAGGTGAGCATGCTGACCATTACACATATACATACAAACACACACATGAACACATACGCACACACATATACCTACAAACACACACATGAACACATACGCACACACATATACATACAAACACACACATGCACACATACACACACATGCACACATACACACACATGCACACATACACTTACCAGCTAACATCCCAAAGAACATGTCTGCCTCATAATATCTTACCGATGGTGCCCACGACAGCTATACAGAAGCAGAACATCGCCAAACACAGTCGCTGCTGGTGAGTGTAGGGATTAGCCAGGACCGTCGTGTTGGCTGCCAGTGTTGAGGCAATAACCTCTTCCATTTTACCTTGACCAAAAAAAAGGAACAAAAGAGGTAATAGGCAAAAAAAAAAAAAGTCATCCATAAATTAATAAAACACGAAAAAGTCATAAAAATACTGTTTTCGTTGTTTATGTGTCGTTTTGGGTTTCATTATCACGAACAGTTTTGCTTCGTAACACACAAACATCATGAATTACGGAACAGAATATGAGGATCACCTGAAAAATCTGCATCCCAGCTTATTTTACCTTATGTGTGTGTGTGTGAGGGGGGGGGGGGGTTACTCACTGCACCGACCACTCCACTCTAGCCAGTGGTGGGTCTGTGGTTTTGGTGGGATTGATTTTTTTTTTAATTTTGCCACGTCCAGCGGCTAGTTTATTGTGCATCCCATACTCAGCCTGTGAGCGGCAGCGCAGAAGGATTACAGAGATCACAAAGGGTGTGTTTAACAGACCTCAGTGGTCAGGATATGGCATTGAGTGTTACTGAGTATTTCCTACACATTGTTTGCTTAGTTCTGTACATAGATGGTGACTTATTCACAACTGAGAAAGTTAAGCACCAGATATGTCAATTTGAAATATTTTCTCTGTAAAGAATAACGTGTCTTAAACTTAATTATTCAATGTATTATAGTTACACTCAAGTCTGGAAGGTGGTGCTGTATAAACTTTTACATATTCAAAATAATCGACAACAATTAGAATGTAAACTAAGAAACTGAACCACCGTTAAAAGTTTCATCAATAACTCTTGTAATTACCGCTGTTGGACACCAGAAGGACTTCCTATTAGGATTATGATCTAACGGACAGAATGAGATATTAATGTCTTACAGGTCCATCTGTGTCTAATGAATCACGACAGTAGATGTTAGTGTTATATATACTGTACAACCGAGGGTTTTAAGCGTCTACACTAAGTCAGTTCATCCTTTAGGTAAGAGGTCGGTAACCTACATCCCATATCCGGTCCTCAACCACTCTGGTAGATGAGCTTATAATAAAGAACATGTCAGAAACTTTGTTAAAAATAAACCAGCCGGCATGGAAGCCCTTGACGCACACAGTGATGTCTTCAACTCATGTAACCTGATAAAATGTTACACATGCGCTCCAGAGTCAAGCTTCCTTGATTTAAGGAGATGTACTGGTGACATGAGGGCAGTTTTGTGGTAACCTGCAGACCTGCGAACACATCTTTTCGACGATAGAAGATATGAAGACAAAGTTTCGTCCAAGGTTGACTGGTAAGATAAACAATACGGTAAACATCAACAGTGTGGCCGCCATTATGCAGACGGACACGTCAATATGAAACCATCTAACTCTAGAATTTCACTTTAGGTTATTCCACAATTACAGTGTGTAATACCATGCATAAATATATCAGTGTTATTAATTAAACAAACATAAAGTAATCTTGGCTTCGTTATCCCTAGGCGCGGCGCCTCTCAGTTATCGTTGTGGCTCCGGGCCGCCTCTCTCTCTCCTGACAATAGCCATCATGGCCAGGTATAACCAGTTTAAACCCACTGACTTAGGCCGGTCAGGAAGGACAAGGAGGGAGAGAGAGAGAGAGAGAGAGAACATTGTCTGGTAGTACTATCGGTAAACTTAGAGATTTCTGGTACTGTCATGGCAGATGTACAGTATACGAGTATATTCATTCAGTAAAGTCGTCATACAAGTTCACATTGATTCAGCCTCTATATACAGTACACAGACTGTATAGTTTGTATAAGGTATGCAATGTACAAAAACAATGGAGGTATACATTGTACGGTACATGCATAAATAGTGAGCTATACAATATGCATTGACGGTGTAGGTTTACAAACAATATACAAAGACAGTGTAGGCATACAATGGTCAACAGCAAGGATAACCAACAGTGCCATTATAGCGATGTTTAGCAATTAAATATAACGTTACTAATTCCAACTGATGATACTGATCATGTTTAGAACTATATTTAAAAGACTGAAGACTTACCCGTTATGACAGAACAATGATGGCGCTTCACTCTGCTCACATGAACAACAGTACGTAGTAGATACAAGTACGGCAGACGTACGCCAATATTCACAATGGATATAGGTAATGTGCGCCGGCCGTATCGATGGACTGTGTTGTTAATGGTTAGGTTAGGTTAGGTTAGTCAGAAAGAAGGCCATCTTAGTAACTATCATATAGGCTGCCCACCACGTTTGCGCATTAGGTTGTCGTACCAATGTCGTACTGAAGACACCATCTTATGTCAACATTTACGTCACAAGAACTTCCATATGTTGCACTACGCATATTACATGTTCTACAGCCATTAAATGACATGATATCATCCTCATGTGAGAGAGGCGTCTTGGTCTCGTGGCGCACTGAGAAACACTACTACACTATCTCATTAGTATTAGTACAGTACGATTGCTGGGCATGAATAATACTGTAAATAAAAGGATGGGAGTAGCTCCTTATATTACATGTGCTTAAAGGCAATAATACACTACACCAAGTACAAAGGAAACGGATATGTACCAAAATAAGATTTGTCTTTATTCGTTGGACAGATAAACCTTCCAGCTCCACCCGTGACGGCCTTTAAGATACGCCTCTGGCTGCTACAGTGTAATTATAAATCTGTGTATTTATAGTTTACTCTTTGAGGACGTAAACAGAGAAAGGAAGTTCTTCTGATACCAGCTAGTATATATACATACACTCCTCTACAGTATGTGTGTATATTCATTTTGTCTTTTAGGCTCCTACATTAACAGTAACTTTGGTATTTTCGGTATTTCTACTCCAGTGTTTGTTTTAATGCCTAAAATGTAATTCCAACGAAGCGATGAAAAAAATAGGAATGATTTGCGTAAGAAGTGACAAGTAAGTCATAGTGGCACATGAGTCCCTCTCCCTGACTTTGTTCGTCTCCCCATCCCTGCGTGCATGTTTCCTTTCCCTTTTTCAATCTTTCCGTTTGTTTCCCCCCTCCCACTCTCTCTCATCCCCAAACCGAGGTGGAGTGAACGTAAAGTTGGGAGAGTAGTAGTAACAATTTTCTTTCATACTACTTCTTCTACTACTACTACTATTACTACTATGGCTATTTATTAGGTCACTACTAGGCTATTACTGAGTTACTATGAGGCTACTACTAAATGGAAATTATTGAACCTATTATGTTTTAAGTGAATAATGTTCTCGCTGTAAAGAAACTCAGAATTAATGAGTAAGATTATTCTATTCCAAGTCATAAAGAAACAAAAATATAAAGAATTTTGAACATTCAATCAGAACGGCAGAAGAAAAAGAAAACATTACATACATTACAGAAGTCATTTGAATTCATGGCTCTAGAATTTTCGTTTCCTGTGAGTTGATGAAATCCACACATATGATAACGAGTAAATCTTCTGTTCGTGTCGACCAGGAACATTCTCGTCCTGAGTGATCCCCAGAGCTGAATCTACCACCATTCCCCCGGGGCCAAAGGTCAGTTGCAACTCGCCGCTTCGTATGAAAATCCAGTGATTCCACGAAGATCTGACAGTCTTATTTGTTTGTGTGAGGGCGGGGGTCACGAGGTAAGATTGGTTGTGTATTTAAGACAGGAAAAGTTGTAAGGTAAAGCTGGGGAGATGATTCATGAGGTAAAGCTGGGGAGATGATTCATGAGGTAAAGCTGGGGAGATGATTCATGAGGTAAAGCTGGGGTGGTGGAGATACATCACATGATCTGTGTAAACAAAGGAAATGGATTCTTTTCGTTTAAGGAGCCTGAAACTTTAATGTTTGCTTTTCTAATATATATATTTTTTTTTCATACATAATTACTATTCGTCACCACTAATTGAAACGGGTTGCTGCAGTTGTGGCCATATGATTTTTTTTCATACGTAGAATGACGATAACGACCAGTGCCCTCGAATTTTAATGATCTTTGAGACTACTTACTGCATTAATCACTTTACATAAGATGACTGCGTAAAGCTAGTCTTTAATTAGATTAACTTAGTTCCTGACATCTTTCATACCGGCTAATGCTAGTCCCAGCTGTAAATTGTAAATAATACTAAAAGCTGCTCTCACCATAGATAAACGTAACACATAGTTCCAAGAACAAGTGATCGCGGGCCCTTCGTGCCCTTGTGAAAGTTTAACGCTGGTGACAGCGTACAGCGAACGAGGGTGCGCCAAGTCCGTAGACTTGCGTGGTTAATTAGGGTGCGCCAAGTCCGTAGACTTGCATCGTTTTCCATCGTAAATAAAATTGTTAATTAATGCCTTCCTAAAGAAACCATCGACATGGGACCAGGTTTGTTCCACTCTACGAATTTTTTGCGATTTTTCCACCAAGTTTGATGAAAAACGATTGTGCCGTTTCGGCTGCCCAGAACAGACACACACACAAACAGACAGACAGACAGACAGACACACGCCTAGTCCTATAGTATATTAGATGATGAGTGTTGTTCAAAACATGGAGCCCCGTTAAGGTGTTGGCTGTGAAATAAATAAATTTTTAATGGGTAACCTAAATATGAAGAATAAATTTTAATATTTAATATTTAAACAAAAATGTAAACTAAAGATAAAAAGGTCTTATTTATTTTATTTGTACATGGACCTGAACTAACTTCTCTGACATTGTTGGCCAGGAAACACTTCTGAATACAGCTATTTTTCACGAGGGTATATTATTGTTTACAGGAAATTAAAATGTTATGTAATTTGTAAACAAAATCAACCTCAATACCTCTTTTTCGTGGATATTATTTAAGACATATTGGCTGGTACAAAAGTAGACTGTATTGTAGGGGATAGTGTAGATGATGGTGTAGACTGTATTGTAGGGGATAGTGTAGATGACGGTGTAGACTGTATTGTAGGGGATAGTGTAGATGATGGTGTAGACTGTATTGTAGGGGATAGTGTAGATGATGGTGTAGACTGTATTGTAGGGAATAGCGTAGATGATGGTGTTGACTGTATTGTAGGGGATAGTGTAGATGATGGTGTAGACTGTATTGTAGGGGATAGTGTAGATGATGGTGGTGTAGCACAATCTTCGACAACACGGTCTACACCATCATCTACAGTCTACACCATACTGTACAATCTACACTACTATCTGCATTCTACCACCTACACTATACCATCATCTACACTATACCATCATCTACACTATACCATCATCTACACTATACCATCATCTACACTATACCATCATCTACACTATACCATCACCTACACTATACCATCACCTACACTATACCATCATCTACACTATACCATCATCTACATTATACCATCATCTACACTATACCATCATCTACACTATACCATCATCTACACTATACCATCACCTACACTATACCATCACCTACACTATACCATCATCTACACTATACCATCATCTTCCCCAACAAGGGTCGTGTTCCAAGCTTCCTAGATCATGTCTTACAATATTATAAAATAATTTGTGTAATATCAAGATAAAAATTAATATAAATATTTACTTTCTTAAAATGTTTCTAAAATGTATAACGTGGAGTTTGACGGTGATATTCGTTGTATTGGTCAGACTCAGTGGTCACCAATAGGAATTCCCACCTCTTGACGACTACCGAGACAAGGGGACATGGGATGAGGAGTCATCTCTCGGCTCCCTCGACGACATTATTGGTGCGCTTAGGTTTATAAAGGAGACGGTGACTGATGTGTTTAGATGCTATTTAGGGTTTATCACGGGGTGCATCAAGAGAAGACCGGTAACAATAGATGATGAGCACCTCCCATAGGTAACTTACGCAGAGACGTGGTTAAACTACATCTTTGACGTGCTCCATTGGTAAGGTATTAGTGCATGTTGTTTCTTGAACTACGTACTAATAGTGTCGGTGGTTGTATGCGTTATCAAATTTTGGCGTTTCAAATTGAGAACCCGACTACTTCGGAGAGACCTCAATCCTCCTGAAGCTGTATGCCCCCCACCAGCCGTCAACTTATATAACAAACTCGGCTGGGAAGAAATCCCTACACGACATTCATAATTATTGTACGAAAATAAAGAGGATTGAGTTATAGTCTGGACTGTGTTACCTTCTCAATCTGGCCTGTGTTACCCTCTCAGGCTCTCAATCTCCCAGAATGATCCAAAGGCACTTTGAGAGATTAGAATTTCACAGCTTTGCCACATCTCACAAAACGCTCTTTGCGCAACCGTATGTATAATGTACTTATCTATGTAGTGATAAAATACAGAACTATCTTAAAAAAAAATCAAAAGCTCTTAACACTAACCTAACGTAACCTGACTTAACGCTAACCTAATTTAACCTATCCTAACGTTAACCTAACTTAACGCTAACCCAACCTAACCTGACCTAGCGCGAATTTGACTTAATGCTTACCAAACGTGACCTGACCTAACACTAACCTAACGATAACTTAACCGACCGATCAACAAACCTGTACACTTTCCCTTACATCACCTACACTCCTCCTCCACCCAGTCCTTCACCAAATTCTAGTACAATCTACACCATCATCTACACTATCCCCTACAATACAGTCAAATCATATCTACACTATCCCCTACAATACAGTCAACACCATCATCTACACTATCCCCTACAATACAGTCAACACATCATCTACACTATCCCCTACAATACAGTCAACACCATCATCTACACATGGCACATCACATTGTATTGTGAAGCTAGGTTTGAATAATGAAAAAACAAAATATCGTTGATTTTTAGTTTTATTTGTATATGAGACGTTTGACTCATAAGCAGAAGCATTTACAGCGGCAAACCTGGATGATTTTTTATCTCAAGTCAACGTATGAGGGACCACCCAAGTGCGGGGTAACTAGGCAAGACAATGAAATAAGGAACAATACTGTATAATGTTTCACAGTTAGTGTCAGCAGTAAGAATTAATATTAAAGAATTCTTAAAAAAAAAAAAAAAATTGGTTAAACATAAAATATTAAAGTCACGCAAGATAGTTTAAGTTGTTATGTCCCTGCCTGTGATGGGTCGTGGCTGACGGATGGGCACACACACACACACACACACACTGCCTGGCCATCACGTCTCTCTCTCTCTCTCCTTCCCAGCGAGGGTACACAAACATAGGTCGTTAGTATGCGCTAGAGTCCTTCATTCCCAATTTACATAATTTCGACAGTTTTAAATTCCACCAACCTGTCATTAGGGCGCGGTGCACAAGTGACGGTACCCGGAAAAATTATCATTCGCGAGCATTGTGATGATCCTCCACCGTCGTCAGTGGCCAGGCTGCCAGGTAAGTATGGTGGGATGGCGGGCGATGGTTGGTGAGCGTGACCCTCGCTGGCTCAACACAGGTTAATTACCTCATCCCCTGCTTACCTGCAGTTGGAGCAGC